CCTCCTGGAGCACCCCTCTCTCTTTTCACCCCCATGCTTTAAGATGTGTCAAAATGTCATCGATAAACTCCCACCCGGCTTCATGTTAACTAGTCCTGAAATTTTTTTATCCCTATCATAGCCAAGGATCCACTTTTCCCTGAATGGAAGTACCTGAGAGATGGCCCAAGCCACTGCTGGTGACTGTGGTAGAGCTGTGACTTCTCAGACTCAAAACTACTTTAGTTAGTACATCTAAGAAAGCTGGCATGGCTGCCCAGTGTCCGTAGAGTTATCCTGTATCCCCACACGATCTTAGCTGAACACCCATTAGCATGGGGGATACCAGTTTCTAACTGGTTTCAATACTTAAGCGAATTCTCACCTTGTTGAAAGTTAGCGTATTTAAGGGCTGTTCCTACTAGATTGTAGGAGATTACATGTTTAATGTGATGTAAAAGATTAGATGTTTACATGTATGGTTGTATATGCTATGTGTGTGTTTTCTGGCTCATTGGGTACTAGATACAGCCATTGCAAAGATCAGGGTCTGAGAGGCTGAATAAGAACTTCATAAGTAAATAAGTAAATGGACCCTGAAATGACATGCATATTTTCATGTGGATATAGTCATTCATTTTCCTCTCTGGGGAGAAGCAAAAACTCCCATACAATGATTAATCAATAAATAGGTTTTGTAGGAACCAAGAACCAGTTTAGACCTTGATATTTTTATGATTTGTGTCAACTCACTCAGCCCACATTGAGCCTCAGTCCTACAAAATGATAATCTCTATCCTTGGAAGATTGTAGCAAACATTAAATGAAGTGCAAATAAAACCTTAACACAGAGTGTGAGCAGGCAGCCTCACCTGCTCTCTACCCCACTCGTCGGGGAGGCTCTCTAACACCGCGAGATTTCTAGGGACTGTGTGAGCCCCCAGAATGGAGCTCAGCTACACAAAGGAAGGCAATCCTCAACTGCGACCCAACTCCAGAACGACCCAATACTGACCTTGCTTACCTTACCCAGCGCGTTTCTCCCTTTGAAGCATGTGTGCATGCTATTTCTTTGGCCTCTTTGATAGGTGTAAAGAAGCTTTTTCAGACTGAGGAAGGGGTCTCTCCAGAGCCTGGGAGTTACCTGGGATTTCCCCTCAGGCTAGTAATAATACTATGAAAACCCATTCGAATAAAATACCCACACCTCACCAAGAGAGCAGAGTCCTTCCACACGAAACAGAAAGCCTGTCTGAGTTTAATGTTTTCCTAACAACTTGCACTCAACAACGAAGGGGGAAGACTTTTGCCTACATTTATACATCTGATAAGTCATACCCACTTGCTTTCCAAGTCTAGAATCACACTCTGCATGTAGATTACAACATTCTCAGCAAACCCAAGATTCCTAAAATGTAGATTTGGGCTATAAAAACCAGTCATGAGTAGCATCTTAAACTCCTGATTAATGAAAAGTAACGAGGCCACTGCCGAGTGAAGAAAATAATGCATAAAACATATTCCTATGTAAACAAGCGCAGTCAGTTCCTCCCAAAGAAGTGGCTCGCCTCAAGTGTGGTTTGCTCCAGTGTCACAAGACACCTCAAAGCATGAGTGTATGTAATAATACTTGGGCAAAGACATAAAAGAGAGGAAAAAAGCGTGGCGAGACAAATTTTCAAAACAGTGGAACGATTTAGACAGCATTTGCTTGTTTTTCCATCTGGGGAGAGAGTCCATACATTGTTCGTGTGAGACAAGTTGATTTTTTTTTCACTTCTCTCTCTCTTAAATTTTATTTTATTTTATTTTGGGTTTAGGGGAGGTTGTAAGGAGAGAGAGTAGATACAAAGGGATGGGGAAATGAGTGGGATAGAGATGCATGGTGTGAAAAGCACACAAAGAATAAATAAAAGGAAGGAGAAAACGAGAAAAAGGAAAGAGAGAAAGAGAAAAAGGAAGGAGAAAAAAAGGAAAGACAGAGAGGAAGGAAAAAAGAAAGAGAGGGAGAGAAAGAAAGAAAGAAAGAAGGTTATGGTGTTTATCACAGCAATAGAAACACTGGCTAAGAGAGACGCAAACCATTTCTGTTCATTAGCACACATGAATAGCTACAGTGGTGAGTTTGTGGCTACTAAAGTGTTTTGTGAAGTCTCACCAAACCCTTTTCCACTGTGATACAGAGAAAATGAAACTTTAAACACACCAGCCGTGTGCCACGTAACAGTAACCTACAGGAACAATGAGAAAACAGCCAAACACCATTAATTTATTTAAAACGCTGCTCAAGTTGTTCCAGGAGCCCAGCTTTCATTCCCACTGACTGCTAATCTTACAAACCCATGGGGAACCACACTGGCTGACCAGGTATTGACAGCCACTTTTTTTCTGGTGTCAAGGCCTGCTGCGGGGAGGGGGGGACAACAGCAGACGTCCACTCAGGTGCCAGGGCGCTGGCCTAGCCTGACTCACAGACCTCCTAATCACAGCAGCCAGAGGTTGAATTGGGTTGAGCGGCAGAAATGTAGCTATACAGAGGGAAGGTGTAATTGAAGAAAGCACCACCAACTGCCACAGGCTGCTTCCTCAGCAGCGGGACATCTCACCAGACCCCTCCTTTCCTCCCTTTCTCTCTGGTTCTACAATACAAGTCTATGACTTCAGGCCACTCACTGGGTCCACACCGAGCCTTGGTTTTTGCTCCTGCAAAACGAGAACAGTTCTATTCTTTCCGCTGTCCCTCCTTCCTCTTTCTTCTTCCATGCCATGGGACTACATCTGTGGTACCCATTCCTTGCGAGAAAGCAAAGTCTGGCCTGCTGCCATCCTAATACCACACCCTGAGATATTTGGATTTCTGCAACCTGCTGGAGTCCTACTAGCTCAGAACCTCTGTTGTTGCCCCCATTTCTACCTCTGGCAACAGCCTTTAGAAAGGGAAGGCCCAAGTTAAGAGCAGACACGAAGCCGCTCCAGGAATGGTCCCTGAGATTCTGGTGGGAGTCCAGTTGACCTCCAGGGGACACCGGCCTCCCAGAGAGCAGGAACACTCTGGGCTAAGATGGCATCCTGCACTGGATTCTCACCGCTTGCTTCCTAGGAAACACGACTGGTATCCACAGGCAGGACTCTGCTGTCGCCTCCAAACCTTGCCGAGGTGGCACAGAGAGGGAGGGTGTTCCCACCCCAGCCATGAGCCCCACTGACCTGTGGTGCGTGCTGGAGCCCCGTTTGTGACAAACTGGTGCATCTCGCATTCGGCTCCCCTCTGTGTGCCCTCCATGGCTGGCACAGGTGTCCTGGGCCCCTACCCTCCCGTTTTATGTCACCTCCAACTGAAGACATCGGGCTCCCTCCCCGAGCGCCAGCGCCGCAGGCTAGGTTCTTAGGACACCTGATGCCCTGGGGCGGCGCTGGGCTAGGCTCACCTGCGGCCCAAGGCGCGCCGAGGGGGCACCGGCGGGGACAGCGCGGACTCGAGGGGAGGAGTCAGGTCCTGGTAGCAGCCGAAAGATCTGACTGATCAGCGCAGAGTCACCCTCGGTTTGGAGCCCGGAGCCCACAGGCTCCAGCCATCCTCCCTCCTCGGGCCCCAGCCTTGTGACCCTCCTCCCCACGGCTCGGGTTCCCTGCCACGCCCTTTGTGGGGCGGCCTTTCTCTGAGACAGGTGGGGAGGGGAGGCCGTCTGAAGGATTGTGGTTGTGATGCTGTCCTCTCTGGCACACCTCCAGAGGCTTATTCCCTGCGCTCCCACCATTTCCTTTCCCTGTAAGCTGGAAAGTGACTGGTGAGGTGGATCACTAGGGGACCATTCCTGCTAGGGGACCGTTCCAACAGGTTGGGCATGGAGCTGTCAAGGTGGTATGGAAAACACACTGAGGCTCGGCTGCAGTGAGTTCACCTGGCTCCCGGGCCTGCTAGGCTCACCTTTGCAGACAATGTGAACTCGGAAAATGTAAGGCATCCATACGGAGCCTTGGATCATCAGTCAAAAGATGGGAAATGAAGGGCTGTGGATTCTCCCCAGAGCGCAGGTGCAGAAAGAGCCCTGGGGAGCCCTGGGGTGCCCTGGGATGCAATGCGAATACAAATATGTCAGACACCTTTACAAGGCTGGAGGGTGGTTTAGTTAGGAAAAACCATCTGCCTTGTACTCTTAAGAAACTGAATCTATCCCCCAAATCCGTATGGCACCCACAATCTCAGTCCTGGGGGAGGTCAGAGGCAGAAGGATCCCTGAGTTCATTGGCCAGCCTGTCTAGTCTAACTGGTGAGCTCTGGGCCAATGAGAGACCTTGTCTCACTGGATTCTTGAGTATGCCACACCATGGCAGTCCTCTGGTTCTCAGAGGCATGCGTGTGCGCCAGTATGGCAACACATAGGTGCATCTTTACACAAACTGGCACACGCTCGTGCATGCATGAGCGTTTCTCCTAAATTTAATGTTTATGGACGTTGGTGATTTGCCCGCATGCATGTCTGTGTGAGGGAGTCAGCTCTTGGAGTTATGGACAGTTGTGAGCTGCCAGGTGGGTGCTGGTCCTCTGGAGGAGCAGTCAGTGCTCTCAACTGCTGAGCCATCTCTCCCGCCACCACACATGAATTTCTTAAAAGTGCCAGACTGGGGGGGGGGGGGGATGACTCCGTCATTAGGAGCTCTTGCTGCTCTAGCAGAGGCCCCAAGTCTGGTTCCCGGCAATGCGGCTCACAACCATTTGTACCTCCAGGTCCAGGATACCAGGTGCCTTCTTCTGGCCTCTGAGAACACCAGGTAGACCCTTGGGGTGCATGTGCATGCACGCAATCAAAACATTTATCCATGTAAAATAAAAATAAACCTTAAAGCAAATGCCTGGGAGCAGTCTTTAAACTATAACCTTTTCTTCACGAATTCCTGTGAAATGTTTAACAGTGGTTCTACCACTTATCAAGACTAGCAGGAACTTTAGCTAACTTTAATTACAATCACTTGAGATTTGTATTAATTTATTGTTTTATTTTTATTATCTTGGGGCATGAATACCTACCTGGCAGGGGAGATACCATGATCACGAAGGTGGTTTTCCCAGGGCTGGGGCTTCTCCGTTGCACTCTGGATGCGCTGAGCCCTGCGGTTTCCCCAAATGTGAGAAACTAACTGCATAATTTGCAGTAGTTGGGGACTGTGTGCATGCTCTCCCTTGGAAAAGAAGTAGATCGTCCTAACGGGGTATCCCACCAACTATATCCAGAACAGACGGATCATTTTGGAAACTTTTTTCTCAAATGCTAGATAAGTTTGCACAGAGAATTTATAAACGAAACTATCCTTTCTTGTGTCTTTTTGGGTGGGGGAGTGTTTCTAGTTTTGTTTTGCAATGGAGTGTAAAAGGTTTATGCTGCTCATTAACCCGAATCCCAAGTGGGATAGACGAGCTAGATGCTGAGAGGATCTAACTGGCACACTCTTTTCCCAGGTGCAATTTGGAAGTATAATTTAATCTCTAGTGCCCATTGTCTCTGCACAGTTTAATGCTGACTTCTTCCATGCTGTAGCTGAAGTTATTGTTGTAGGAAGAATTTGAAATGCAAAATTGTTCAGACACGATCTGAATTTTGGATGGATTTGCAGAAATGAGAGATGACCCTCAGCCCTACTGCAGGTGAGCACTGTCTAGTAGCAAATGAAAAAAGTCTGGCTTTGGGCGTCAGTTCAGTGAGGCCCAAATTCCCTTTTGTGTCTCTTCCCAACTTATTTATAAGGAATCATTTACTCTCTTTTCCTCTCCACTTCCCTTCCTGTCTAATCTCTCCAATGAAAGGAATAGTGAATAGCCTGAGGGATGGGAGAATCATCATTTGATTGAGTCACATGACTTGTGCCTTCACATGACAGCATTATTGAACACAGATCTTATTTTAACTCTGAAGCTGTCTACTTGGCTGAGACAGTTCATTCACCCTCTTCTCTGACTCTCTCTCCTTCTTCTCTCCTTTCCTGCTCTAATAGAAAGTTCTTTGTGGGAACCGGTACTAGCTGAGGAGCCTTCCTGGCTTTGCCCCACCTTCTTCTGCCTTGCTCTAAGGAAGCACTGTCACCCCCCACTGACATTTGGGAAGTTTAGTTTGTGAATGGCATTTGTCTAGACAAAAACAGATTCAGGCTTAGATACAATTTTCTTGCTTTAAATGTAGTACTATCACTTTAAAAACATTCAAAGTGCCCTAAGGATTAAAAAAAATAAACATATCTGGTGTTTGTTCACCAAAACTCAATGCCTGCTCACACCAAAGGTCCCTCACCAGCACGCAGTGGGCTCGATGCCTGCTCACACCAAAGGTCCCTTCACCAGCACGCAATGGGCTCGATGCCTGCTCACACCAAAGGTCCCTTCACCAGCACGCAATGGGCTCGATGCCTGCTCACACCAAAGGTCCACCACCAGCAAGCAGGTCATGGTTCTCCCCCGACAGATGTTTCCGAGTAGAGAGCGTGAAGACTCATCCAGCAACGGTGTACTCTGCTTCCTTACGAGGTTCTTTGCTTCCTCCCGAGCTGCTGCCCCAGCCTCTCTGGAGACACCTGCTCTCTGTACAGCACAGACCTTGTGCGGGGACAGATGGGGCCTGAGTCATTCCAGTACCATCTGGACTCAACTACCCTGCAGAAGTGACGATGGGAATTACCCCCTTCCTTTATTTGCTTTAGTGTATTTCTCACCCAAGTCTTTTTAGACTTGCCTTTTTTATAATTGCCACAATAGGATGAGGAGATAGCTCTGTCAATATAGTGTTTACTGTACAAACATGAGGGCCTGAGGTTGACTCCCAGGATCTACCTAAAAAGGCCAGGCATGTGGTGTGTGCTTGTAATCCTGGTGTTGGCGAGGCAAAGACGGATGGAGTCGTAGGGCTTTATGGCCAGCCAGTCTAGCCTACTTGATGAGCTTTGGGCCAGTGCAAGAGCCTGTCTCAAACAACTAGATGGATGGCTAGTGAGGAACAAGATCCAAGGTTGCCCTCTGCCTCTACGCACGTGCGTGCAAACACACATACACCACACACATATACCACACACAGACACATACACATACACACAGACACACACTCACACACAAACCACACACACATATACACACATACACCACACACAGACACATACACACAGACACATACACACACATACACATACACCACACAGAGACACAGACACACATACACATACACCACACACACATACACACAGACACAGACACATACACACAGACACACACACATACACCACACACAGACACATACACACATATACCACACACATACACACACTCACACACAAACCACACACACATATACACACATACACCACACACTCACACACACAGGAACTTGCACACATGGATGTTTATATATACTCACACCACATTAGAATTGGTACTTTCCATCAATGGATATTAAATTTGCTGCACAAAATCTGACAAGGTAGAGATAGGTTGATTTTTAAGCCTTGCCCCCAGGACAGGTGTCTGCATCTGATTTTCTCATTTTTGAAGCTGAGAGTTCATTGAGGGTGTTCTCCTGTTCCCTCTGCCTTAGACTAAGTAAGACAGCTCCCCAAGAACTTAGAAGTGATCCCACAAGGGCAGAGTTCAAACACGGAGACCCCTTTCCTTCTCACCTGTCCTCTCTCCTAAGGACACTGAAGCAAGTGACAGTACAAGGATGCTTTTCACAGCCTCCATTCTGAGCTCTTCAAAAAACAAAATAGAAAAAACTATCTTAGCTCTAACGTGTCAGATTTCCTATGGCAAACTCACTTTGAAATTTCTCTAAGCGTCCTTATTTTCTGATGTAACTTCTTCACTCACTACATCTTCACTTAACTGACGAAACAAAAACGAATTTTGAATATCTTCGAGTTTGCGGCAAGTTTAATCCACGTCCCCTGAGAGTTCACAGGCGCTCACTAGTCACCCCGGCCCTCTCTTCTGGCCACTCCCACTAGTCACCCCGCCCTCTCTTCTGGCCACTCCCACTAGTCACCCCGGCCCTCTCTTCTGGCCACTCCCACTAGTCACCCCGCCCTCTCTTCTGGCCACTCCCACTAGTCACCCCGGCCCTCTCTTCTGGCCACTCCCACTAGTCACCCCGGCCCTCTCTTCTGGCCACTCCCACTGGTCACCCCGGCCCTCTCTTCTGGCCACTCCCACTGGTCACCCCGGCCCTCTCTTCTGGCCACTCCCACTAGTCACCCCGCCCTCTCTTCTGGCCACTCCCACTAGTCACCCCGGCCCTCTCTTCTGGCCGCTCCCACTGGTCACCCCGCCCTCTCTTCTGGCCACTCCCACTGAAGTACGGATTCTGTTCTTCATGGATCTGCAGCGTGAGAAATCACTACTCACTTCCCTTTTCTCTTTTACTTTCTTGGTATTGTGACTCTTGACTCATTCACTGGGGTGTGTCCAAAGCAAAGATGACAGCAGGACCTGTGTCTCAATCAAATCACAAGGTTACAATCCTCTTTAAATCCAGTTATTGGATTGTGGGGAAATTTTTTAAAGGAAAACAAACCATTTTAAGAAATTTTTTGAAAAGCCTTTGCTAATATCTCTTGCATTTATTTTCTAGAATAAGCAATTATATATTTACATACACTGCATGGATGTGTACATAATGTAAGACATGCGTGCATCAGGAGCTGTGTTGGGCATTACATCCACTTAAAAGAAAGAGATATTACCCCAGCCTTAACGTAAGGAGTGCCTTAGCTGCACTTTGTGGTGCTCAAACGGAGGAACAGGAAAGAGTGACTGATTCTCTCTGTGCTGTGTGGCTTTGCAGAGGAAATGGCACCTGAGCTGAATCTGACAGGTTGAAGGGCCTCACAAAGCAGTGAAGATGGAGAAAGGGACTCGGGCTGAGACAGGAATAGAAGCAATGCCACCGTGTCCTGAGGAAAAGGCTTCCACGGAGGAGCCACGGGGACTCGCTATCGCCTGAACCAGGATGGCAGAGCTGCTTAACACCAAGGGACGAGCATGTCATAGCTGCCTGGTGTGGGTTTTTTTCATTCAATTTTGTGTCTATTTTAGTCAATGGTGAGTTTACACATTTTTAAATTGACACAAATATGAACATTGTGAAGCAGAATGTCAAATTCTCAAAAAGAGTTCATCTCTGTGTGAATGGGTCATCTACCCAGTGCCCACTTGGAGACTGGACAGCTTCGAGTCGCTCGTTATCAGGTCCCATCTCCCCATACCAGCACTGGGATGCACCCGCTGGGGTCTCGGACCTGAACTTGGGTCCTCACACTTACATGGCGAGCGTGCCTCCCTTCAGTCCACGGCCTAGCCTTTACCCCCTAGCCTCATGCCCCTTGGTTCCGAGAGGTGGATCAAAAGTGCTGGGTTGCACTGTGAGATGCAGAAAATGGGGTAAGACGGTATCTGGCACCCGCCAGTCATCTTTCAAGTCATGCTCAGAATTTTGTACAACTTTTTGTACACCACATGGGGCTGTGCGAAAAGTGCTGCCAGCCTTGGGTCCCTGATTCCGAACACTACATGGCAGCTTAGAAGATAAACTAGAGGGAAAAAGATGAGTCGTGTCCGGCACTGCTGTTACCAGCGAGGTGACAGATGAGGCCATCCGAAATAAGGAAAAGGCAAAAGCATCGTAGAGGAGATGTATCTTCAGACACACATTCAGGGAGGAGAAATGGTAAGACTTAGTAACAATCGGAAGCACTGCCGCGAAAGACCGAAATCGCTGGCGCTTTCCTGGCTGGCGGGAAAACTGCCGGCTTTTCTGGGGTTACGTTAGGTGACGTCACAGCATGACAACCAATTACAAGCCTGTTTTGACAAAAACGGTTGGGGGCCGATACCGTATTGGTGTCGGGGATTTTGTCAATCTCCATCTTAGCAACGGACGCGTCCTAGCAACGCCCGCCAGCTGCGGTTGCTGGAGATTAGAGATTTATTTTTCCGGAGCGAGAAGCGTCAAGCCCCCGTCTCCAACCCTTAGAGAAGCTTTTCTCCCGGGTACTGACTACCAAGAGGCTATCTTCTTTTGCCTTTAGTGATACAGGTAAGGCGGTTCAGAATGGGCAAGGGTAAACTAAATATCTCATTACCATTTCAAGGGCGATCGGAAACCTCCCTCAATGTTCTAGACACCGGGAAGTCAACGAAATAAGCAAAGACTTTTTTCACTACTTTCAAAGGGCTTCCAGCCCAATCCAGAGACAAAACAGCTACGAGAGAGCAGTTAACAGCGATTTAAGAATGCTGGGAACAGAGAGAAGATACTGTCTTGTTCTAGCCCTTGCATTGCCTGGCACGCAGTAGGAGCTCAATAATTTATTCATAAATGAATATGAGAATGACGTGGTCCTGGTTGCTCATCTACACCATAGAAGATTAACATGGGCTGAAGCAGATCACTGGGGCCTGGGAGAAGGCTAACCAGGAAGTCAAAGAGAGATGATGAAAGAGGTTCTTGTTTCATTTCCCAAGGGATCACTGTATCTAGGACCTAATTGCTGCTTAGTGCGGCCTCTCAGCCTTCGTAATCCTGTGTGCTGAACGCTGAGTGAGTCCACAGCCACCCCTCAGGCAGTGTATTTGGGACCTGTGTCAGCTCCTCTCAGCATCGCTAGAATATGTCACATCAAGACTGATTCAGGCTCAAGGAGAAAGCAGACCACCAGTGCAGGATAATCTTCAGATACAAGCTTCCAGAGTTGGAAAAATTCTTCTAAAATGCAAAATCCACTCTTTGGAAGTAGAAAGGGCTTGGGAAATGCATTTCAAGTGATGTCAGTCTTATACTTAGGGAAGTAACTTGACCATTTTATTCATATGTAAAAAGCATATTCATTGTATAGAATATGCAATGAATGGTCATGGTGGTCGTATTAGCAGTATTAATGTGTGTGTACATGCGACCACACGCCTGTGCAATTGCCCACGCTGTAGCTGTATGAAGTAGGGTGGTGTTTACAATGTTGTTGAGTATTTTAAGCCGAATGGAACTGGAATAGAAAATGGAGAGGAATATACTGATGAGAAATCTTCCAAAAGAGAATAATGTCTACGCTTTGAATTTATGATTCTGGAGAATGGTGTGGATAACACTTCATCTGAAAAACTGAAAGAGCATTTATTGCAGAATATCTATAAGAAGTAGAGCTTTGGGCCGGTGGAATGGCTCAGTAAATAAAGGTGCCTGCCACAAGGCCTGGTGACCTGAGTTTGCTACCAAGGCCCCACGTGCTGCATGGGGAGAACTAGCTCCAGCAAGTTGTCCTCTGTCCTCCACACACACACACACACACACACACACACACACACACACACGTGTGTAATTTAAATTTGTTTAAGTATAAAGTTCAGGACTGAGGAGACAACCTTGCCGGCTAAACTGTGAGCACCTGAATTTGATCACTAAAAACTAGGTTAAAAACAAACAAACAAACAGCAAGGTGAAAGGGTTGGAGAGATGGCTCAGTGGTTAAGATCACTTGATCCTCTCGTTGAGGATCCAGAACCACATGGTAGCTCACAGCCATCCGCAACTCCAGTGCCAAGGGATCTGATGCCTTCTTCCGAACTTCACCAGCCCAGACACGCAAGTACAACACACACAATAAAATAAATAGTAGTTCTAATAGTAAGTCTAAAACTTTTTCATCGAGGTGTGGTAACACACACTTGTAATCTCAGCACTTCTGACGCAGACATGGGAAGGTTCCTCAAGCTTGGCGGTCAACCCGTTTACTGCTGGGTGACCCTGTCTCAAGAAACTGTGATGATAGGTAGATAGTGCCTAAGGCACGACATTCTAAGTTTTTCTGTGCCACACAAACATGCCCCTTCACACACACCGGTGGGGAGTACAGGAGGGAGAAGAGAGGAAGAGAAAGGAATAGACATTTCTTTAAAATTCAGAATCATAAAATACTGATCAAAGCACAAATTGTGCCTTTATTGATGAAGACCATGGCTTTAAATAGTTCTGTCTGTGTGCTGGCTAGTTTTATGTCAACTTGACACAAGCTAGCGTCATCTGAAAGGAGGGAACCAAAATTGAGAAAATTCCTCAATAAGTTCTGGCTGTAGAGCATTTCCATAATTAGTGATTGGTGTGGAGGGCTCAGCCCACTGTGGGTGGCGCCATCCCTGGGCTGGCGGTCCTGGGCTCTGAAAGAAAATGCTAATTAAGCCACGGAGAACAAGCCAGTAAGCTTTATCCCTCTGAGCTTCTGCATCCGCCCCAGGTTCCTGCCCTGTTTGAATTCCTACCCTGAGTTCCTACAACACAGAGTGTAGACCAAATAAACTCTCCCCCCCCCCCCCAACTTGTTTTTGGTTGTGGTGTTTCATCACAGCAATAGAAACCCTAGTAAGATATATTTGTAATGAAACACAGAAATCCGAGGGATGTTGTGGTGTGGAGGCTGTGTGCTCACCCTCTCTATGTCCCCTCGTCAGGGACCTGACCCCTTCATCCTTCATAAAACACGGATGGAAAAATGACAGTAATAACAACACGTGACTAAGATTAAGGTCGCAGAAAAGCTGAGGCAGAAGTATCTTAAACACAAAGCCGGTGTGAGTAGGCAAATAGGGAAATCCTGTCTCAAAAAAATTCATATAATTTAAAATGCACATGAAATGCTTCAAACTGGCTGGGCAGTGGTGGCGTACACCTTTAATCCCAGCACTCAGGAGGCAGAGGCAGGTGGATCTCTGTGAGTATGAGGTCAGCATGGTTTACAAGAGCTAGTTCCAGGACAGACTCCAAAGGTACAGAGAAACCCTGTCTCAAAAAAACAAAAAAAGAATTAATAATAATAATAATACACACATTCAAGGCTCAACATGAAAAGCGCTTTCTATGCAAATCTGATGGCTTAAATTCAATCCCAGGACCCACATAAAGGTGACTCCACAGAGTTGTCCTTTGTCTGTCACACAAGCACAGTGGTACATATGCCACCCTCCTTCCTCCTCTGCATGCATATATACACATACACAATAATGATAATGTTTTCAAAGCATGCAAACACACGGGCACCCACACTTTGGTCACAATTCTGTAATGAGGGGACTAGGTCAAGAACAACAGAAGCTGATGATGTCTTAGACATCAGCTACAAGATAATGCTCAATCTGTGTTGATGTTGATTTCGTAAAATAAGACAAACCTCTCTGAGGTGACAAGCTGAATAATGATTTTATTTTTATTACTTTTATTGAGCCCTCAAAGCCGCCTTCTGAGGGGATTCCATTTTCCCTGGGAAACAAAGAAATACATAGAGACTAAGACGGTCCGCAGCTTGCCAGGACCATTCAGCTAAAAAGTAAGACTGTTTGTAAATCCCGGTGCACAGACTCCTGAAATCACGACTTATTCTGTAGCCCAGGCTGGCTGCAGTGCAAGGCAATCCTCCTGCTTCCACCCCCAAGAGCTCCAATCATAGGATGGCCACTATACCTGACTCTGAAATCACACTCTTAACCATTTAATAGGATGAGTCTATGGTGGGCATCTTGACAGGGATTTGATGCCGTGGATGACCTTGCCCAGTGCCACATCCTGCCAAAGCACCCTGAGGCGGCACAAATAAGACCTCAACGGTTACATGTAAGACAGGAGGATGACTTAAGTTATATTCATCTACAAACTATGCACAGATGTGCGTGCTGTGGACCTGACTCACCCCATGGCTTAAAGCTCATTTGTGTAGCCGAGACACCTGTGAGGAGACACAGACCAAGACAGCATCGAGCAACCACAGAGAAGATCCCAGGGCAGCAGGGATGGCCATGGGGCACCTCAACCAACGGCTCCATAGGAACCGTGTCTTATCAATCACATTGCTGTTGCACTAAAACCTTTAGACACAGTCCACAGCTAACCCTGAGTTCCTACTGAAAATTCATTGCTTATTTAGTCTAGGCCCTAAGCCTAGAAAATATTATGTTCACTAAATAAGAATGCTTCATACCTGAAAGTATAAGCCAGTACTTAATAATGCTATCTCTCATTGTAGCCTACATCAGAACCATGGCACCAAAAGCGCAGAAGAGCCCCAAGGGCCAGAAAAAGGGCAAAAAGAAGGCCAAACAACCATTACAAGGTAGGATTATCTTTTTGTTTATGGGATTTTTTTTACTGGGTTATTTCTTGCCGTGTATGTTATTTTGTATTATTGCATGTTGTTGTGTACTATGGAGTATATACTCTTGATTTATCTATCAAGTAAAATGAGATACTTTTGCTCTTATAAAGTCAGACAGACATTGAATGGTGCTTAGCCTTTCCCCCACATATGAATGAAATGCGACCGACCACACATGTGTTACTAAAAAGAAGACAGTTTCCTGCTTCTCCTGTAACCAGTCGGGTGGCAGTTGAATTCTTCAGTATATATTTTTATTTATGGTTTGTGTTTGATGTGGCATAGCAAGGGGAGATCACCTGATTCAAACTGTAAACTCGATATCCCATTGCCTTTCAGTTGCCGAAGAGGAAGAGCCAGTGAACATGGAGAGCATGGGTGAGCAGAAGCAGCACTGGGGATTTGCTATTTAGAGGCTCACGACGAAGCCCAGATGTGCCCCAAACTTGGGGTCTGCTCGGGTTGCACCCCCACACCCCAGAATTTTTAAAATAAACAATAGCAATGAAAATAGAAAGCAGAAATTAAGTGGAGAAATAGGTTTGGTCAAAACAGTCCTTTAAAAACAGAAATGTTTGAGACTACGAAGGGGTAGTCAGATGACTGTGGGTAAAGCACATTCCAGGCGAACCTGACAACCTCAGTTGATCCCAGAACCCCAGTAAAAGTGAAAGGAGAGGCTGGAGAGATGGCTCAGTGATTAGGAGCACCGACTGCTCTTCCAGAGACCTGGATTTGATTCCCAACACCTATATGGTGGCTCACAAATGACTATAAATCCAGTTCCAGGGTACCTAGTGCCCTCCTTTGGCCTCCAAGGGTACTCTGCACTGCATGCACATGGTGCACAGCATGAACATCTATTCATATAAAATAAGAATAAATAGTCTTTTGTTTCCTTTTCATTTGTTTATTTATTTTAAATCCACACCATAGTTTCCCCTCCCTCCTCTCCTCCTATTCCCATCGTCAGTCCCCTCCTCTTGCTTCCGTTCAGAAAGGAGCAGGCCTCCCATGGGTGTCAACATAGTATGGCATATCAAGTAGCTGTAAGAAGAAGCAATGCCCCTTGTATTAAGACCGGGCAAGGCAATCCAGTATGAGGGATAGGGTCCCAAGAGCCAGCCGAAGCATTATGGACAGCCCCTGTTCCCATCGTTAGGAGCCCCACAAGTAGAATAAGCTACACAGAAAGTTACACAACTATCACACGTGTAGAGAGCCTGGGTTGGTCCTATGCAGGCTCCTTGGTTATGGGTTCAGACTCTGTGAGCTCCTATGAGCCCGGGTTAGTTGTTTCTTGTGGCTCCTCCAATCCTTCCTCCCACTCTTCAGCAGGATCCCCTGAGCTCAGTCTAATGTTTGGCCGTGGGTCTCTGCATCTGTTTCCATCAGCTACTGGATGATGGCTCTTTGATGATAATTGGGGTAGTCACCAATCTGATCACAGGAGATGGCCAGTTCAGGCCATCTATTGATAAAAAATCTTAGCTAGGGTCATCCTTGTAAATTCTTGGAGGCTTCCCTTGCATCAGGTGTCTACCTGGCCCCAAAACGCCCCCCTCTCCAGTCACCTCTTTCAGTACTCTCCACCTCCACCCACCCCACATCCTGATTCCTCATGTTCCCATCCCCACCAAACCCAGTTGCCCTTCTCAGGGAGATCGGTGCATCCCCACTTGAACCTTCCTTGCTACCTAGCCTTTCTGGCTCTGTAGACTGTAGCATGGTTACCCATTACTTTGCAGCTAATGTCTATTTAGGAATGAGTACATACGATGTTTGTCTTTCTCAGTCCGGGTTACCTCACTTGGGATGATTTTTTTTCTAGTTCCATCCATTTGCCTTCAAGTTTCCTGACATCATTGTTTTTAATAGTTGAGTAATACTCCGTTGTGCAGAAGTACCACATTTTGCTTATCCATTCTTTGGTTGAGAAGCATCTAGGTTGTTTCCAGGTTCTGGCTATTACAAGTAAAGCTACTATAAACATAGCTGAGCAGTCATCAGAAGTCTCCAAACAAAAAAAGCCCAGGACCAGATGGTTTCAGCACAGAATTCTACAAGATTTTCAAAGAAGAACCAATGCCAATACTTCTCAAATTGTTCCACACAATAGAAACAGAGGGAACATTGCCAAACTCTTTTTGTGAGGCTACAATTACCCTGATACCCAAACCACAGAAAGACATCACTACAAAGAGAATTACAGACCAATCTCACGCATGAACATTGATGCAAAAAAACTAAATATGCACTGCTGTGCACTCACACTCACACCCCACATGTGCATCCTGCACTGCTGTGCACTCACACTCACACCCCACATGTGCATCCTGCACTGCTGTGCACTCACACTCACACCCCACATGTGCATCCTGCACTGCTGTGCACTCACTCCCCACATGTGCATCCTGCACTGCTGTGCACTCACTCCCCACATGTGCATCCTGCACTGCTGTGCACTCACACTCACACCCCACATGTGCATCCTGCACTGCTGTGCACTCACACTCACACCCCACATGTGCATCCTGCACTGCTGTGCATTCACACTCACACCCCACATGTGCATCCTGCACTGCTGTGCACTCACACTCACACCCCACATGTGCATCCTGCACTGCTGCACGCCCGCCCACACCCACACTTGTGCATCATACACATACCTGGTAATAATTCCTAACCTATCATCAGAGTACTAAAAGATCTTCTGTCTGAAAGTTATTACTTCTATACTGTAGCTCAAAGGCAGTATTCGTCTGCTGCCAGTTCATTGTTGCTGAGCTCATGGCCAGCAGTCTGGTAGCTGATACCTGTGTGAAGCTCTATCCTCCTCTGCTCCCAGACCTTCCTTGGTCTCTCGGGAACAAACAGCATCCCACTTAACAGGTAGGCTCAAGTGAATGCCTCTTACTGCTGATCTCACAGCCCAGTGCTGCTGCCTCAGGTCCTGATGCTGTCCTCTGCGCTTGCCTTGAAGCCTAATAGCATCTGCTCTTGTTAAATTTCACCTCAAACTCTGTTGGGTGGCAGAATCCTCAGGCCTTGCTCTATCCTGTCTGTTATGCTGGGCCATGAAGGTACATTCTAACAGCTGCCTCTGTTCACAGTAACCATTGATTGTCTACCCCAGCTACAAATAGCCTATAATGTTTCCTAGCTACTACACAAAGAAACGTTAAATCCTATTTTTATATTGCCTTTAAAATGTCTGGTTACTGGCTGGAGAGATGGTTCAGTGATTAAGAATACTGACTGTTTTTCCAGAGGACACAGGTTCAATTCCCAGCACTCACATGGCAGCTAACAACTGTCTGTAACTCCAAGATCTGACACTCCCACACAAACGTACATGCAGACAAAACACCAATGTACATAAAACAAAAATAAATAAAATGTCTGGTTAGAGAAAATTGGCCATTTTTGTGAAAAATACCAAGTTATGTACTGGGTGTCTAGTCAGGGTAAGAAACATAAAGCACAGTCTTGAGGCAGGGTAATTACCTCAAGTTCAAAGCCAATCTGTTCTACATAGGACATTTTGGGCAGCCTGTGCTTAAACGGCGTGAGACCCTTTCTCAGGTTTTATTTTTGTTGGCATGATAAAATCACTGGGCACATAAAGCAGCGTAAGGGAGAAAGGGTTTACTTGGCTCACAGTTTCAGCTTATACTCCATCCATGAAGGGGTAGTAAAGGCAGGAGCTGCAAACAGCCACTTCCTTCACATTGAGAGTCAAGAGCTGAGAAAAACAAGCGCAAGTGTCCTTGCTTGCACTCAACCGGATCTCTCCCTTCTCATACAGTTCAGGGTCCTCCCTCCTTGCCAAGGGAATGGTGCCACATGCATGGACTGAAACTGCCCACATCAGTTAACTTAGTGAAGGCCATCCCCTATAGACACGCCCATACAGCCAATCTATTGTAGACAGTCTTCCCCAGGTGATTCCAGGTTCTGTTGCATTGATAATTAAAGCTATCAATCACAGACCATCTCAAAAGGCCTTTAAAAATTAAACTGCAGTTTTAAAAAGAGAGCATGGGCTTTTTCGTTTGTTTGTTTTGTCTCTCCAGTTTCTTGAAGCTTCTTGCCTTTCTGAACACCTGTGTTAGTATAGTACCTGCTCTTTTTCCATCTTGGGTGCTGAGGAGTCCCCAGTTCCTCCCAGCAGCTTCCTAAGGAAACCACGGAGTCTTTAGTGCGTAGTCTGTGTGCTGGACATCACCACTGGGACCCAGGAATGCTGAGATGGGAGAAGATGCTATAGGGAGACAGAGGCGGGCCTGGCAGGGACTAATGATATTGAATAGGATAAGACTCTGGAAAAAATCCATAATGAAGGTTGATGACGGGTAAAATGCTCCCTTCCCCTGTTGCATCCTCTGACCCAGGACACGCCACTGCTAGGGACCGGTCTGTGGTGGGAGGAAGTAGCAAGACCAGGGACAGAGACAGACGTTGAAATGACCTAAAAGAAAATCACCACACCTTCAGACCGGTACTTCCACCCCTAAAAGTACCCCAAAGAAACGGTTTGTAGTACAAGAGCAATTCATAAACATTTTTTTTATTTTTTAATTTATTTATTTATTAAGGATTTCTGCCTCCTCCCCGCAACCGCTTCCCACTTCCCTCCCCCTCCCCCGATCAAGTCCCCCTCCCTCATCTGCTCGAAGAGCAATCAGGGTTCCCTGACCTGTGGGAAGCCCAAGGACTGCCCACCTCTATCCAGATATAAGAGTAGTTATAATAATTAGAAACAAATAAGAAAAACTGAATATTCAACAGTAAGAAGATGGTCGAATACAGGGATAAATTAATTTAAAATGTTTCAGAGATACTATTTAACATCACAGTAGAAATACAAGGGAGGTGACAGTTAAGCAGTAAAAGGGTTGCATGGGATGATAGAGGAAAACATTAATGTTCCTTAGAGGATATTAATAAGCCATTGGTACTCTCTTTTTATTTTGCCCTAGGTTTTGTGTGTGTGCACGCATGTTTGTGTTTGAGTGGGTGCACCCATGTGTAAACGCAGGTAGAGGACAGAGGACACCTTTGGATGTCATTCTTGTTTGAGATGGGGTCTCTCATAGGCCTGGAACCTCTCCAAGTAGGCAAGGCTGCCTAGCCAGGAGCTCCAGAGATCTGCCTGTCTCTACCCCAGGCTCACCGTTGCTGGCAGGATGAGGGTATCCCACCATGATCTAGGATTCCCTTTGTGTGCCATGAATATGTTTTATTACCTGGTTAATAAAGAAGCTACTTTAGTCTGTGACACAGAAGAATGTAGGTAGGCAGGAAAACTAAAATGAATGCAAGGAGAAAGAAGGCAGAGTCAGGCAGATGCCATGTAGCTGCCGAAGAAGAGAGATTCAAGCCAGCCTCTGAGAAAACAGACATATAAAAAATGAAGTAACACCACAGCATGTGGCCAAACATAGACTAATAGGAATGGGTTAATTTAAGATGTAAGAGTTAGTTAACAAGAAGCCTGAGCTAATAGGCCAAACAGTGTTGTAATTAATATAGTTTCTGTGTGATTATTTGGGTCTGGGCAGCCAGGAAATGGAAGGGCAGTCTCTGTTCCCACCACGCTGCCCACCTTCTGCGTGGGTGCTGCCAATGGAGCCCAGGTCCTCAGGTCTGTAAGGCAAGGGTTAGTGACAGAGTCATCTTTAAAGTCTGTGGTTCAGAATATTTACCGTGAATGTAGTTGCTTCAGATGTAAGACTGAGACGTTTAGAGTCTCACATCTGTAACCAAGAACATTCCTTGATACTAGCATTTTAAGTTGTATTTAATGTCCCAATTGCACTTTGTTCTCCCAGGCCATCCAGAGATTTATCCATTAGTATTAACGACCAAGACCCAGGAAATATTCAACTGTCGAACAGATGAAGATTTCACAGATGAGCAAACATATAAGCTCATCAAAAAAGAAGATATCTTGGCAGACTTGCTGAACCGAGCCGCAGTGTCTGACTTCCACCCGGTGAAAAAAATTGTCCGGGTAAATACAGGCTTGATCTTTGCTCTCAGTCCTACCTCAAGAGCAGCCCAGAACAAGTTAGAGATGATTTCGCATTCAATTCTGGCATTCCCTTTATGTTCAGCCCCCGGAAATCCTATGTGAGAATGCTAAGTGAAAGGTTCAGTCTTACCCCGTAGCTTAAAATAGGAATCAGGCTGGGCATGGTGGCACTTAGGAAGCTGAGGCAGGAGGATCACAAGACTGAGGACAACTTGGGACATACAGCAACTTCCAGGCCACCCTGAGCTGCAAAAAAAGATCATGTCTCAAAATTTTTTATTATGTTGTTTTAAATTGTTAAATTTATAGTTTTGGTCCTGCTTTGCCTCCAAGCATCGAGACCACACCACCAAGCAGTGCACATAGCTCGCTCTTTTTTCTAAGGCGTGTGTGCATGCATGTGTACACATGAGTGTGCATTGTGGGTGCATGTGTGTATGCATGTTGCATGTGTGTGCATGTGTGTGCGCATGTGTGCGTGCATGTGTATGCATGAGTGTGCACTGTGTATGCATATGCATATGCATGTGTGTGCGCGCACATGAGTGTGCACGCATGAGTGTGCTATGTGCATGCATGTGTATGCATGAGTGTGCATTGTGTGTGCATATGCATGTGTATGCATGAGTGTACACTGTGTGTGCATGTGCATATGCATGTGTGTGCATGTATGTGTGCATGTGTGTGCATGTGTATGCATGCGTGTGCACTGTGTGTGCATGTGTGTGTGCATGTGTATGCATGCGTGTGCGCTGTGTGTGCATGTGTGTGTGCACATATGTGTTGGGCTGGGTGAGTGTACTCTGTAAGTGCAGGCGCATTGTGTGCATGTGTGTGCATGTGCGTGTGCGCATGTGTTGGGCTGGGTGAGTGTACTCTGTAAGTGTAGGTGCATTGTGCGCATGTGTGAAGAAGATGGCGCTCATACATATGTTCGAACAAAACACTTAATTGAACGGTAAAAATTACATGAATCCATTTTATTTTTGAGAACGTTTTAATTAAATTTGAGGATTTGGTTTAGCAGGCAGATCATCACCGTGATTACATTGCAGACTATGTCGATTTGATGTTGGCACCAGCACAAAGTGATGAGCTCTGACCCTCGACCCCCGTTGATGTCCCCACAGGAATATCCTGGGGATGAGTTGCTACTCGTCTACGACAAAGACTTCAAATATGGACTAAACTTTTACCTCATTGGGACCGAGGAAGGCAAGGAAAACTTTTTAAAGGTAAGAAAATCATAAGCCTTTGCAGGTCAGCTGCTGGGTCATCCCTAGGCTCCTTGACACAGCTCTGTACCCTGAGCTCAGCTCAGCTTCAGAATGGTGAGCTTTCTCAGTTCCTGTAGAGGAACTAAGGAAAATAAATTATACCTCAGGATAGAGTTATCCCAAATAGAATACACACATATACATATATTTGTGTGTGTGTATATATACACTCACATATATACACATGTATATATACATACATAAATATATATGTATGTACTTATATATAATATGTATATACATACGTGTGTGTATGTGTGTATGCATTACTTTCCTCTTATCAGATAATCCTTCATAAATCCAGGGAAACTGAGTTTTATATTTTAGCCACCAAGCTAAGCAATCTGTATTATTTGTAAAGACGTGCAATAAATTATGCTTTCTTAGCATATGGAATATCCTGTTCATCCTCCCTGCTTGGCTGGAAGCGCCACCCCAAGTCCCTCCCCCATTTCTCTCCAAACCCTACTGCATCTCAGAAAGCCTGCCAAATGATGGACCCCTTATGGGGTGTAAAAAAATTTAATCTGGAAATTCCACCAAGGGGCTGTTTTTCCCCCACTGGCCCAGGGCAAAATGGTGGTAAAACACCCTTCTCCCCAACACCTGCTCTCCGGCAGGCTAAGACTGGCTTTCAACTAGGTAAGCTGTTTTTCCCAGGGCCTGCTGCGATTTTCAGGGTGTCCCGCCAAAGGCGCAGCTGTACCAGGCCCTCGACCACCTGTTACCAGGACAAGGACCTACCTTATCCCCTTTCTCAGAAGGCATTCTGTTCAAAGGACACCCCCTGTTTTTTTGACTCAAAGCCTACCACTGTGGATACATTGCACTAGGCTTCGGTCCCAGCATAGACTTGCAAAATGGTCACCTGCAATTCGAAGCCAGATCCACGAATGCCCTGGGCAGCCTTTAACAAAATCTTTTTAAATTGGGGCTGATACCATATGTCTTAAATATCTAAAAATTTTTGCCACTGTGGGACAAGTGGCCAAAACTCCCGTATGCCCACTGGGTGCTACGCTCCCATCCTTCCCTCAATAACCAGTGTCCCTCAGCACCTGTCCTGTTGGCTAGGATCACGGCGCCTCCAGATTCCCGCCTACCTGGGAATTGTGACCCTAAAAATGCTGCCCTGACCATGCTGCCGGAAATACTGGCCCCTCCCTCACACCTCTAACCCTGCCTACCCAACTCCCTCCTACTGGGTCACATGTCCTATACAGTGGCCAACAGCCCTCTTACTCCTCTCCCATTCATCCTCCCGGCCCTTTGAGACAGAGGTCAAGGGCCAACTTCCTCCTCCACCACCCTTTTGCTTACTGGACTTATGAACACATAAGTTGGCAAGGATACAGGAAGCGCTCCATGCACCCCTAAAAAAGTCAAGTTAATTGTGTGAGACACATGGATTATAAGAATGGCCAGATGTTCTAAAATGCTTCTGTTATGCTCTAGACCCCTGAAGTGCCAGAGGAACAAGAAGAACCCAAGGAGCATGCTCCAGAAGACATGTACATCTACAAACCGCCTCTCTCCAAGCCGTGGGTGTCTCTGGGCAGTGAGAAAGAAATTGAGGAAGAATCCGTCAAGGAATCAAAAAGGCGGGTCAGAGTCTTTGCTGCTGTCCAGTCCTAACCTCCCCCCCCCCCCCCCGCCCGGAACTAGGAGTGTTCTTTCCTGGGATAGCCTGAGCTTTGCTATATTGGAAAGTGTGGGGTTTCTTCTTTTTCTCATAGAAGAGCTGTAAAAAGATGTATGCAAGCTGGAATGGGGCTGAGAGACTTAAAAACACACAGACAGAGAGAGACACGGACACGGGCGGTCCTTCATACAAGAATGCCAATTCCAAGATTAGTGTGCTCAGAGAAACCTTATATAGGGATCCTTAGCTACACCCAGCTCTCGGGATCTATCAGCTGCAGGCCTCATCGGAATCCACTCCCCTGCCATTAAGGTCTCGTGCTCAGAGCAGCTGCAGACACAGGTGTTTTGCCCAGTTCACTCCAGCAAAGGGTCTGAGGCAGGCAAAGAAAGGCAGGGGGCCAGGGATCTACAGCTCCCAAAAAAGAATGGTCTTTTCCTTTGGCAGGTGTCAGGAATTTAATCTGCCCCCCCCAAAAAAAAGGATATCTTTAAAAAAATCTCTTGACCTCTAGTGCCCCAGAGAGTAACATTACTGGTAAAATGGGGAGGGGTCTTTGCTAATATATAATGAGTTGTATATAAGCTATAATGAGGTCACACATAGAATAGGTTCCTAATCTGATTTGACTGGTGTTCTTTTTTTAAATTTTTGTATTTGAAAGTTTCTTTTCATTTTGCATACCAACCACGTTCCCCTCTCTCCCCTCCTCATGCTCCTCCTATGCCACCCCCTGTCCATTGACTAGTGGTCTTATGAGAAGTTGATCAAGTATAGATGTAGGCAGGGTTGCCACATGGAAGAGACATAGAATTGGCTCTCAGGCCCTCCGAGCCCCCAGCTCAATCCCCATTGCTCGGAGACTGTAGAGACCTCAGGGAGAATGTACCTATGATCAAGGAAGGATGAGGACTGCTCGCTGGTACCAGGAGTTGAGAAAGAAGCAAGGTCAAGTTCTCCCTTGCCCCCCAACTAGACAGCTTCAACAGTCTAGCCTCTATGGCTAGACTAAACATAGAATAAATCCCTGTGTTTTAAGCCACCCCAGTTGTGGTCATCGATTACTGCAGCAGTAGAAAGGGAATACAGTAAGTAGTGTTCCCTCTCAGAGCAACTCTTGAAAGGAGGCTTGGGTGCAGTCAGCTTAGCGGGGTGCTGGGCAGGAAGGAAGCCCTCCGAGGGAGCAAGCTTGCCATTGTCTCTAGAAGGAAGGCTTTGTCCTGAGTTCATAAAGGAACTCGGGAGTACAAATTACACTCAGGGTTGTCCCAAAGAGAAGCCATGGAGATGGACTTCCGAAGCCTCCCACCAGTCCACTACTGGTCAAGATGTAAATTCCCAGTCACTGCTTGTCTTTTTGACAGGCAAGGAGGCCTCAGTCACGGTGACCATGGCTTCATCGAGGAATAGTGGCTGCAGGCTGTGGGAACCAAAGCTCAAGAGGGACAGCAAGAATCCACAGCAGTCTCTGAGTGTCTGGGTAAACCAACACTCACACCCACTTCTCTCCAGAGATTTCATTGGGGTTTCTTTGCTGCCTATGTGTGTTGCAGGTGACGTACATGATTTCTAGGAAAAGAAGTCAATTTGGTGCCCCCGTGGCTTTCAGAGACCAGAATGCTTCTAGCGTCAAAGATGCCTACATTGAGTGTGCTTCCTACGTTGATAAAAATTACACACTCACACAAGCTGAGAAAGACATCGGCTTGCAAGTCATTCCCGAAGTCAAGGGCACAAGCACTCAGACAAGATGGTAGGTATGACATGGTAGAGCCGTCACAAAAGTGTGCTCAATTCAGGAAGACTGAATTGTGCCCAATAACTCTCTTTTTAAACTCTTAGGGAACACGACATAAATATATGTTAAAACTATGAAGCAGGACAATGGGAAATGGTGTTAATAATCACAGTGCTTGCTGGTTCTCACCTGGAATTGTGCTACTATCTTCCTGCTGAGAGACTTTGTTTATGATAGGGTCTCACTATATAGTCCAGGCTGGCCTGGAACTTGCTATATGTATTTTGGGCTAATCTTCCATTTTCAGCAATCCTCCTGCCTCAGCTTCCCAAATGCTGGGATTAATTACAGGCATGTGCCACCACACCAGCTCTAAGTGACCATTTTTGCATCCCGTGTCAGACTGTCTGGCTGCATTGGCTGCATTTCTTATTTGGGCCACTATCGCTTATGAAAAAAACAAGAAACTTCCATCCAGAACGCTTCGAATAGCATCTAAAGTCTCATTTCCTTCACAGTGTGGCACACAGAAAAGCAGTGGGCCAGCAGGAAATGCTGGCGAGCTCTCATACAAAGGAGACTTGATGTACAGTGTAAAAATGATCCGTGGTGGTGTCTGCTGGGGGGGGGAGGCAGGGTAGAGGAAGCTGTAAATGGAACAGGCTGGCCAGGTAGGAAGTGGCTATAATTAAAGCAGGCAAAATGTGGCCACTGTTAATTTAGGCAGTGGCAAGATACAGAGATGATAGGATAGAGAGATGTGTACATTTAAAACACCATTATCGAAACCAAACAGTAACACATCTGCTCCAGCTATTGCCTGATGCCACTTTCATGGCAGCTGTCCTTGCTCCCCTGGACATAACCAGCGCTGCACTCCACATCCTCTTCCGTTTCTTATCTACCTTTCGCCCCAAGCCCGCTCTGACATTACCTATATTTGCTTCTCTCTGATCCAAGTTTTGGTATTCAACTTTCTTTTAACTATTAGGGCATTTCCTAGAAATGCGACTACACAGTATTATCCAAGGGAATTTTCAGAAGAGGAAAAAGAAAGCCTGGAACAATCCAAGTCTTTGGTCGACTTTCTCAACAACGTGTCCACAAGGTAAGAAAGTATCTATTAAAAACTTTAAACATAATATGCACCCAGTTATTTTTAATAATGGTGTCTCCAGAAGCAGCTTCCTGTGTGACACATAGGAATATGGGGACAGTTGTTAGTAGGACATGAGTGAATGAGTCTCAGTGATTCCTGCCCTCCATGGGACTTATGCTGTGCAGCTGTGGGTTATGAGCAAGAATAGTCCTCACGGGCACACATTCCTCCTCAACCATCCTCATGTCTGTGATGACAGTTCTAATGTCACTGATACTAAAATCCAGCATGTCGGCTGCTTACCATCCTCATGTCTGTGATGACAGTTCTAATGTCACTGATACTAAAATCCAGCATGTCGGCTGCTTCTTTTTTTTTTTTTTAAATAAAACAGTGTTGAAATAGCCCTTCAGCAAAATGAAATCATGAACACATTTATCAATGACTGGAAGAACCTTGCAGAGGAAGAAAGCACCTTTGGGGACAAGAGCGACACCCACCTTAAAGAGTACCAGTCCTTTACAGACCTTCACAGCACCATGGAGAAAATGATTACCTGTGTCTCGTGGCACCCGACCATCTATGGTAAGGGAAAGTCTTATTTTAGTATCTAAGACTGAAGATGAGATTGACTTCGGCTAACATATAAGGCTTGCTAAGTGCCGGGGCCCTGCCAAGCAAGCATTTCCCACACACACTTGGGGAAAAGACTTGTTCAGGCCACACAGCTGCAGGGACAGTGAACGAAGAGTCTGCCTTTGCCTGGGGCCTGCCAGACTCCTGTGCTGAATGTGCTACCCTAACCCTCTGGGCAGACAGACACCTTTAAAGAGCTCAATAGCTCAAGGAAAGCAATCGATGTGTTCAAGTGTAGCATGGGAAAAAAATTAAGTCTCTGTTCACTTTGTCCCTTCCTGCCCTCCTCACTGACATTTTTTTCTGATTAAAAATATTTCTTGAAGGCTGGAGAGATGGCTCAGTGGTCAAGAGCACAAGCTGCTCTTAGAGGAGACCAGAGTTCATTCCCAGCACCCACACCAGGTGGCTCACTGACACCTGTAACTCCAGCTCTGGGGGATCTGATGCCTCCTACTGGTACCCAGGGCACCTCCACTCATATGTGCAGACTACACAGAGACAGACACGTAGTCACACAAGTAAAGACAAAAATCATATTTTTATTACCAAGTCTTCCAAAAAAGCTGGCTCTGCTGACTGCACATCTCAGTTTGCACCAGCTACACTTTCAGTGCTAAGGGACATGCAGCTCATGCCCACAACATCAAATCTACCACTACAACAAGCATGGAGCGTGGGGGCCTCTGTGCATGGGGACTGCTGACTGCTTGGTACTTGTGTTTGGTTCAACAGGACTCATAGTCGTGTCGGTGGCTGTGCGCCTCTCCTACGAAGAGAGAGTCCACTTTTCGGGTAAACTACTGCTCCAGCCATCCCTGATTCTTTTCTGGAGTTTCTCTGACCCCATACACCCTCAGGTAACAGATGGCCAGCTCACCAAAAGCTTAACTTTCTCAAATGCCACGTCCTCAAGTCTTTAGAAAAATTTAAACTGCAAATTATTTCATGATCTCCTAATGTTGTAAATCACAGGAAATAGGTTTCTTTCTTCGCAGATTGCAATCTCATAGGTGGAACCAATGTCCATGATAAAATTCAACAAAAGTGCCTCTGAGAGCTAGCTCAAATGTGCATTATTTATAGACAGCTACAAAATTAGACTTCTCCCCATCTCAATATTATGTAATAGATTTTCTTGTTCTTTTTGATGCATGGATTGACTTTAGTTGATGCTGGAGAGCCCTGATGACATCTTCTGCTTTGAGTTCTGTCCGAGTGACCCTAACATCATCGCTGGAGGCTGTATAAATGGACAGGTAGTTAGGAATTGTCTTCAGGTGTTTACTGACGCTGTAAGAAGTTTGGATTGGGGTAACTTTAGAACTCCAGGGTGCAGTAGGGCACAGGGAAGGCATGTTGGCCATGTGGCAACCACTGTGCTATGACTTGAGTAGAAAGATAGGTCAGTCATGGGATTGGCACTTAAGATACACATGGGAGCTGGGTGGTGGTGGCGCACGCCTTTATTCCCAGCACTTGGGATGCAGAGGCAGGTGGATCTCTGTGAGTTCGAGGCCAGCCTTGACTATAAGAGCTAGTTCCAGGACAGGCACCAACGCCACAGAGAAACCCTGTCTCAAAAAAAAAAAAAAAAGATACACATAAGAACTCAGATCTATCCTTTTTTCACTTATACAGCGCAGACCCACTTGGCTAGGCATTGACCTCTCAAGATGTGCCCTTTGACATCAATTAGCAATCACGAAAATGCCTCAAAGACATGCCCACAGGTCGTGCTGACTTAGGTAATGCCTCCCTCTTCCCAGGTGACTCTAGTTTCAATAAAAACTAACCAATGCAATAAGCTACAAGCATTGCTGCCTCTTAGGAAAGAAACCATTGCTTGAATTTACTACGTTTCCTTCATTTTTCTTCTAAGACATATACTTCATACCACATTGAGATTCTACCCTCCGCCGGGCGGTGGTGGCGCACGCCTTTAATCCCAGCACTCGGGAGGCAGAGGCAGGCGGATCTCTGTGAGTTCGAGACCAGCCTGGTCTACAAGAGCTAGTTCCAGGACAGGCTCCAAAACCACAGAGAAACCCTGTCTCGAAAAACCAAAAAAAAAAAAAAGAAAAAGAAAAACCAAAAAGAGATTCTACCCTCCAATGTTGTATTAGGGAAGCCAAACACAAACTTTAAAGCCTTTCTATGGTCTAAGCTTCAAGCTATTTCACTCAGTGAGTCTGACAATTAGAAACTTCACTTAGTGCACAGGATGTAGCTGGAGAGGGTTGCCCAGAGACTGCAAAGCCCTGAATTGGATCCCCCAGAGAATGGGGGGCACACACCTGCACTCTCAGCACTTGGGAGGCGGAGGCAGGAGGATCCAGAGTCGAAGGTCATCCTTGGCTACATAGATAGTTCAAGGTCAGTCTGGGCTATATGAGACCCAAGCCCATTAATAAAATAAATAGAGGCATCTGTTCTTTCTGTGTGTGGCTGAGACAATTCTTTAGATTCACACATCAGCAGCTTCCAGTACATTTTTCCAGAACAGCAGGAAAATCAGAAAAGCAAACACCTCCCTGGTGTTTCTTCAACAGCTGCTGAGATTGTAGTAATGACCCATCCCCTAAACCAAGAAAGTTTGAAGTGCCTTTGATCTGTGACAAAAATGGTATGATTTTGTTTTAGAATGTTGTAGAAAGGGGCACAATGTAATAGAACCACTCTTGTTTCTCCAACACTGGCAGTCTGTGACCATCTTGTTTACTGACAGGCTGGCTAGTCATTGACCACTGCCCTGACCTGGCATTGTATATTCTACTTTGTTCTTGTTTTTAAAAGAAGGATCATCCAAGTAACAAGCAAATTCTGAGGTAGCAGTTAGAGGCAAGTAAGATAATTTGTCTGCCTTTCCTCCCCAGTGATTGGAAGTTTGTACTTAATTCTTGAGAATCTGGGTAAATTCTGATTCTCCCCAGGTCGGAAGCAGCTATACCTACATACAGAGCAGGACAAGGGACAAAATCTTACCAAAGCATGGAGAAGTGCCCGCTATTTGTCTTGCGTTTATTTGCTCAATAACAGCATCCATGAGCATAGAACAAGGAGTGGCGGACACTGCTGGAGAGATGAGAACACTCTCAGTATCTGCTGGAGAGATGAGAACACTCTCTCAGTATCTGCTGGAGAGATGAGAACACTCTCTCAGTATCTGCTGGAGAGATGAGAACACTCTCTCAGTATCTGCTCTAGAAGTCACAAGTTACATAGGCCTCAAGCTAGATCTGAGTATGCCCTAAGGTGATTGATTTTTCTCAGGCTCCATACCAATCGCTTCCTACAAAGCAGTCTCTCAAACCCAGTCCTCTGTGTCCTGAAAGTGCTGCGCTCACCTTTCTCTCTGTTTTAGGTCGTCCTCTGGGATATCACAGCGCACGCGGACCGCATAGAAAACATCAAGTCCGGCGGCAGCAGAAGTAAAAAGGCCACTCTCAAGGTTGGCTGTTTCTAGCTTCCTTCTCACAGGGATGTTCCTCTCCGTTCCAGAGTTCCGCAAAACACACATAACAGGGTCGCCAATCTTTGTAAAGACTCTGTACAAGAAACATGGCAATATTTTTTTCCATTCTTTACATCTGTCTGTAGGCATTTTCTGAATCACTTTTTATGGAGGTGGTCACTAAAAACATAATAAAACAAGGTTCTTTGACCAGCACAGGATTTTATGGGGTTTTGCTGCTATATTTTTGTTAAAGAAAATGAAGGAAGCAAATAATTTGCCTAAAGTGATTTTCCTGAAGGAGCCTAGGATGGAAGGACAGAAAGTTTGGGTACCCAGGTGCTGTCTTACAGGCTCTGAGCTTGCACGTGCCACCTCGCCTCTCCAAGGGCCAGGTCACATGGTAAGAGGAAAGGGTGACATTGGATAAAAGTGCCGTCCCCAAGCCTGGTGAACTGAGTTCCATCCCTGAGACCCACATGGTGGAAGGAGAGATCTGACTTCTACACTCAAGCACACCCACACACATGTACACATGTATGAAATATATTAATGTCGATTTTAAATTTAAAAAAAAAACATGTAATGGTTCCATGAGGCTGTGGACTCCATCAGGAGTACTGGAAAAGGCAATCAACCTCCATGTCAGTACTTACCCTCCGTATCACACGTTCCTCCAATCCCAGTTCTCCAGCCCTGGGAGCCATAGGGCTCTCCCTGAGGAATGGTAGGAGATATGCATCCCTGTGCTCATGGAAACACTCATTCAAGAATAAACTGGGTCCATAGTCCTTGTGAAGTTTAGAGACTGGACTCCATTGAAAGGGAAAGTTGGTAAGTCTGTTACTAAATTTGTGGTATACTGAAACACTAATCTGTTTTTACCTAAACTGATACCACTCTGGGTTTTTCCATTTTAACTGCAATTGCCGGTGGAGTTCACCCATCTCCTCTCTGAAATCTAATATTCTTTTAACATTTCTCTAGCCTATGTTTCTCCTTGAACCAGACAGTAATAAAGAAGCGATGTACATCAGACACTGTGCAGTGTCTTCGATAGAAAACGGACATAGGAAAGTAATCACAGATATACACTGGCTGCCAGACTCATTTGAGGTGAGTGTTGATGGCTGTGCGGGTACTGGGAATCAAACCTTGATCCTCTAGAGGAGCAGCCAGTCCCCTTAACCACCAAGCTCAAATTCTGTTATATTTGTGTTGTTGTTGTTTTGATACAGTGTCTCATGTATCCCAGGCCGGCTTTGAACCTATTATGCAGTCAAGGATGGCTTTGAATTCTGACTCCCCTGTCTCCACCTCCCAAGTGTTGGGCTTACAAATGTGTGCACCATGCCCCGTGTATGTGGTGCTGCTGTAGGGTCAGACCAGGGTTCTGAGCACACTTGGCAAGCACTGTACCAACTGAGCCAGCCACAGTCCCTGCCTAGTTTATAAAATGTTTGTTCAAGCTTCTGAAGTAGTATTGCAGTTTCAGGGGTTTGTTCTAGCTTCCTTTATGTTACTGCAATGCAATGCTTTTACTAAACCTCTTAGAAGAAGGAAGGGTTTACTTGGCTTACACTTCCAGGTCCCTCCTCGAGGGAAGTTGAGGCAGGGACTTAACACAGAAACCTTGAAGGAATCCCACTTGACAGCTCTAATGTGATTAGCCAGCTTTCTTGGTTTTTTTTTTTTGTTGTTTTTGTTTGTTTGTTTGTTTGTTTGTTTTCCAGACAGGATTTCTGTGTGTAGCCTTGACTGTCCTGGAACTTGCTCTGTAAACCAGGCTGGCCTCAAACTCACAGAGATCTGCCTGCCTCTATCTCCCAAGGGCTGAGATTAAAGACGTTCATGACCATGGAATTATACAGCCAGAATCACCTGCTCAGGGATGGTTCTGCCCACAGTGGTTTGGACCCTCAGGCACCAAGGAATAAGATGATTTTCCACAGACACGCCATATGCATGTCAGTTGGATCTAGGCAATTCCTCAACCAAGGCTTCCTTTTCAGTTGACCCTAGGCTGTGTTGAGTTGACAAAGATAATAAGATCCTACAGTCATGAATCTCTGAGACCATCAGGGTGGCCTCAGTAGAGATCCAATGAAAGTTGGCATTTCACACACAACCAGAAAGGGTTGGGAGCTGAGGGTGGGTCAGCCTGGTCTGCGGTTACCTGGCTGGCAGGATGCCTGCATGCCTGGTCGCAGCATCTCCCCCTCACCCAACCCTGCTAAAGCCCCTTTGCTGTCTACTATTTTACATATGAACCCTATCAAGACAGCCATTTTTCCGTATACATTTGAGAGAGCCAACCTCACAAGTTACTCCTGAACGTGTTAATCTCCTTAACAAGTAGTTAGTGTGGACTTTGGACCTTCTAAGAGCGTGAGTGGATCCTGGAGATCCTCTCTGTGCTTGCGGGGCTGTGTAGTAATTTGACAGGGGATGCCATTGGTTTCCTTTTATCTTCTAGACTCTGTTCTTTTATGTTAGGGGGGACAGGGTCTTTCTATGTAGCCCTGGCTATTCTGAACCTCTCTATGTAGATGAAGAATTAAAGTCATCTGTCACTATGCCCAGTCACCGTCGGTTCCCTCCTTGAGACTTATCCCCTTTTCTATGGCTCTTACCTGTTTAATAGTCTCCTGAAACTATTTGGCTTAGTTAACAGTGGATAGTGGAAAAGGGAAAGATCCTGCATTTCTAAAACTAGTGAACCATTAAACAATGTGTATCATCTACATTTTATAAAACATTTAAAATACTTTGTGAACATGCAGTTAAAATTCACACTGTGAATTGGAGAATCTGAGAATCAACCCTTAATTAAAACTGTGTAAAAATATTTCTGTGAACAAGGAGTGGATAAGAATTCAAAGTACAGTTGTATTTTATCTTAAAACTCAGATTTCAAATGTCTATGGTAGTGTTAATGATATCTTTTAAAAGAAGAAAAACTTTTTAAAAGAGGAAAAAAGCTATGAGAAAAATCATTTCTAGCTACTCAGAATTTGCTTTTTTAATAATAGTCGTTATGCTTTCGGAACTTCATACATGTAAACTTGGTGAAATACTGATGGCTAAGGAAACCAGAGGCAGCTTTAGAGGGAACTTATTATTGTTATTTTACCGAATTTTCTTTTCTTCAAACGTTTTAAATAGATTAACAGAATGGGCTCTGTCTTTGAAAATCGAAGTGGGATAAACTGTCAGCTGGTCACGTGCTCAGCAGATTGGTAAGTTTCATTTCAAACATTTCCCAAACCCTTAGCAAGTTAGGCTCTTTTGCTTCGATGTTCCTAAAACCCATCTTTTTCTTCACTCATTCCATAATCGTTACTACAGCAATAACCTAACATGACTGAAGGAGAATTGTGTAGTGTTGCTGGCATTTAAAACAAATGAACTTTGACCTGGAGCAATGTGGTGTGTGCCTTTAGTCTCAGCGCTCAGGAGGCTCCAGTAGACCAGGATCTTAGATTGTGAAGCCAAGTCATCTACAAAGCAAGTTCTGAGCCAAAAGAGAACAAAAGAGCTTTTTATGGGGATAAATTTGAAAACAATAAGAAAACGGGAGCCAGCAAGAAGGCTCAGCTGGTAAAAGCCCTTGGCAGTCCCGGGAGCCAGGGTGGAGGAGAGCGCCAACTGTCAGCTGTTGTCCTCTGGGTACCACTCATGCCCATGGCATGCCAGTGTCTGTGCTCAGACACATCGTGCACACAACAGCAGTAATAATGGTAATAATAATAACCGTAATAGAAAACATAGTTAACTGCACTTTCTCATTGGTATTTGTGCATAGCAGTATCTGCTTCTTCATACACTGTATTTGTCAATCTATGGTATATGCTGTTCACATCCAGTTCATCTCACATGGGACAGGAAGGCTTCCTAACAGTAGAAAAGTGTTGTTATAATTTGACAGACATGTCAGAGGCTATTTGTTTAGATAAAATTGCATCGGCCCATTTATAGAATTAAGAATTCATAACAACATGGAAAATTTAATACTTATCTAGATAAGTAATAATGCTTATCTAGCCTCCAAATACCAGAAAAAAATTACTATTAAAAACAGCTTTGTAGCTCATAATCAAAGCACTCAAAAGACTGGAGCCTGAGAATTATGAATTAAGTCCAGCCGGAGCTATATGGTAAGGTCCTATTTAAAAAAAAAAATCTTTGAATCTCGGTGTGGTGGCACACACCTTTGACCCCAGCACTTGGGAAGCAGAGGTAAGTAGATCTCTGTGAGTTTGAGGCCAGCCTGTGTGTATAGTGAGTTCCAGGACAACCAGAATTATGTAGTGAGACCCTGACTCAAAAATCCAAAAAACAAAAACAAAAAATCTTTGGTCCAGACAAAAAATAATGACATAGTATTTATGATAGGGAAGCTAGAAGGAGCAGAAACTGTGGGGTTCAACCGAAGGCACTGGAGACTTTAATAACCACCATTAAAATTGTGTTTTTGATAGATGAGCTAGATGAGCTTATTATATATGAGTTGTGTCTTAATAAAGCTCTTATATTCCTTTTCAAAGTCATCAGTTTCCAAATTGAATTCTCCTGTATTACCATCGAGACAAAGAAAATCAAACACCTATACGCATGGTATGATTTGTAAATCATGGAGCGTGGTGCTGGGGGGATGACGCAGTGCTCTGGCTGCTCCTGCCGAGGTCAGGCCCAGTTCCCAGCACCCACATGAGAAAACTCAGCACCTCCTGGAACTCCAGCTCCAGGAAACCAAGGCTCTGTTTGACCTCCATGGACACCACATTCACACGCACGAAGTCACGTGCAGCCACACACAAACGTATTAGTTAAAAATCAAATCTTTTTGGAAATGAAACACAGAATGGCCTCATTTCATAAAAGCTTAGTTTCAGAAACACTAGGAAGTTGCCATGTTAACATGTGATGTCTAGACATTGTGCCTCTTGCTTGTTCTTAATGAAATAATAATACTAATCACATGAGCTTTCTTTTAGCACAATATGTTTTTGGGATATTAGACCCCTAAAACCTACAAGCACAGCCGCAACGAACGCCGCAGCCACAACAACCGCCACAGCCGCAACCAACAACAACACAAACTCCCAACAACCAGCAGCAGAGAAAAAGAAAGAAGAAACCATTGAAATTCCCTTTGATGTGCCGTCAACTTTCTTGCACCTGGATCTGTCCTGGAAACCCCTGTCTAGAGTAAGCAACGTGGGTGCGGTTCTATCCTACACCCCACACATTCTGCCTACAACAACGTGGGCGTGGTTCTATCCTACACCCCACACATTCTGCCTAGCTTGCACCGTGAGCCCACCCTCCAAATGAAGAATGGCTCAGACTAGCACAGGATCCCAGTGTTCACTAATTCCTTCATTCAGCCAATAACAACCTGACTGAGGATGATTGATGCTGATCTAGACCCAAACAGACACCCAAATCGCAGTGAACTCGAGGCTGGTATCTCCTGTATAAGCAAGCTACATTTAGAAACAGCTGAGTGATGATTCTTTAGCTGCATATTGGTTCCTTGAAGATTGGTTGCTACTCAGGTGGGCCCAGGAAAGTTAATTTTCTCTACTTCAATAGGAAAAATCTGCACATTTTAAACATCAGTAGTAAGAAATGACAGGCTAGTACTGCAGCAAACAGAGCTGAGAAGTCACCGAATAAGAAGTCATCTGTATTTAACTTGAGTGGGCAATTCACCTTGAAAATGTGTATGGGAACATGTGGAGGGTGTGTGGAGATCTTTTCTTTAGATGTGTGATTCTAATTTCAAACTTGATATTTATATTTTCTTTTAATTTATGAATATCACGTCAACACTCCTCGGTGTTGGCTCCCAGAGAAGGAGCTTGGAGGGGTGAGACTATTTCTGAGGTAGCTGGGAAAGAACATGAACGAGAATATTAATAATTGTCTGGAGGAGGGGGCTGGAGAAACGGCCCAGTGTGTTAAGAGCACCTGCTGCTCTTGCAGAGGATATGGGTTCCTTTCCAGCAACCACGTAGTGGCTCACAACCAGCATTGCCTCCAGCTCCAGGGCATGGGATGCCCTCTTCTGACCGTTGTGAGCACGAAGCATGCTCATGTTGCACACACATACATACCCAAGCACCCATATACATAAGGTGAAATAAATCTAAAGCAACTTTTAAGAAAGGAAATAAATTGTCTTGGGTAAGATTTGCTGAGATGTAAAACAAATGAATATGCAAATGTACCCAAGAATAATCGCATAGCGAGGAGATAGAGTCAGAGGGAGAAAATAGGGGGAGATTGCCATACAGGAAGAAACCCAACGGCCATTTATTATTCTGACCATGGACACACGATGTAGGCACAGAGCCACATCCATCATTCAGACCAGCAGGCATCCGGGTAGAAGCCAGGCCCCTTCTGAAGCTTCATTCTACTGAAGGATTTAGGGATCAGGGCACTAAATCACCGTTTTAAGCTACAACAAAGGTGAGTTTGGGGATGGATATAAAACGTATGAAGAAAGAAGACACTTTGTGATTGCGCCCAGGCCAGCTTCCCTTGGTTGCATGGTCTTAGAAATATGGATTTAGATGCTTTCCATGGGGAAAAGTAACTGGGATAAAGGAGGGGCAGGGAAGTAAAAGGTAAGTTTGTTACCATCTAGGAGCAGAGGGGACAGGTAAAGGAAAAAATGCAAGGGTTTGCTAAGCATGTAACTTTCTTTTATGTTCTTCCAACAGATAAAGCTGTCTAAGGGGGAAACGAGCTTAGATCACTGTCCAACCAAGCTGAGCCTGGGCGAAGACCCTCTTCTTTGCAGAATACAAGGTAACTAACTAACCGCCTTTGTCCATCAAAAGCTCATTTTGGTGCGTTCATATCCGTCTATGTCTAAGGTGAGTTACCTGCTGGAACAGTCTGATTTGTAAGAAGGATTCAAGTTTATAATAGCTGTAAGAGAGATGGCCTGTACTAAAGTCATCAGGACACAGAGGGCGCCACCGAATTCTGTGGTTCAGCTTTGTAAGCCCTGAGAGTGCTGCATTTGTGTGTGTGTGTGTGTGTGTGTGTGTGTGTGTGTGTGTGTGTGTGTGGTTTGTCTGTCTGTCTTTCTGTCTCTGTCTGTCCTACCTGTTTTATTGCCCATGCTGGTTTTGAACACTAGACGTCAGCCCCTGCCTCCAGGTTGCCGCCCTGCTGAGTTTCTGTCCTCACTGCTTTAAATGATGAGCTGTCCTATGGAACTGTGAATGGCAGAACCCTCTCCTCCTCCCCACCTGCCTTTTGGTCGTGGTGTTTCATCCCAGCAATCTTAGCCATAACGAGTACGGTGGATATGACCAAAATACATTGTAAACAAGTATGAAAGCCTCAAAGAACATAGAAATCAAATGTACTGTTGAGTGAAGCCCACCTAAGGGATATGTATTATTATAAAAAGAATAATTTTATAGACCGAAACTTATTTCAGGCATAGCCAAATCAATTATGAAACACAAAGAAACCAATTTCTATAATTATAATTTTTAAACTAACAGCTACATGGCACCATGATAAATTAAACCAAATGAAAGAGGAAAATTCATTTTTAAATCTAGCTTGGCTCAATCCATACCTCTTTGGAAAGTGATGGAAGGGCGTGCACAAGCTACCTGAACCCTCTGAGTGTCTGCTGAGTGATTCAACTGGAGAGCAAAGTGCCCTGGAAACATACAAAGTGCACAGAACTACCCAGCAGCTGAAGCATTTCTCAGACACTTGCCTTGTCCCCAAGGATTTCAGTTGTAAAATTTCCAACTTTTGTTTAAAGTCCATTATTGGGTAGGATTTGTTTGAAACAGAATCTTCCTTACATATTCTGGGCTGTCATGGAACTCACAATGTAGACTAACTCACAGAGATCCACCAGCCTTCTGGGCGCTAAGATTAAAAGTGTGTGCCACCTGCCCAGGGTCAGAAGACTTTTACTGATTTTTAGTGATGCCCACCCCAGGCTCAGTTATGACATGGGGTCATGGCCCTGACTTCCAAGAAGCTCTGTAAGCTTTGTTAGCCCAGTCAGCTAGCAAACAGTGGTCCTGCCATCTGTGAGGGATGAGTTCCAAGATCTTCAATAGCCTCTTCAAGACACAAACACACAGATTTGCTCTATAAACAAGACAATTAAGATGCTAGCAATGGAACTATTCATAAAATACAGCATTATGACTGTATCCTGGAATAAAGCTTCCATGAATCGGTCCCTAAAACACTGGGTTGTGTTTCCGGCTTGTCACTTGAAGCGTTTTTGCAGCTTCACCGGTCTCACTGATCTGCACTTCAGCACCGTTAGTAAGTTAAAGGGGACTGGGTCACTGGAGCCCGAGCTCGGCAGTGCCACCGCTGCCTATCTGATTAGCAGGATGGCTAAGTGACTGATGGGCAGGTGCCCTGTCCAGCGGATGTGCTGCCCCAGGGGCAACTCACACCTTAGCCGCATGGAACCAGATGGCACCATGTCTCATTGCCCTGAGGAGACTGACAGGCAACTTAAAATGAGGTGCTTCTGGAATTTTCCATTTGCTCTCTCCTGACATCAGTAGACCTTGAGTCATGAACTGAAGTTACAGAAATTGCAACCGCACGCGGAGAGACTCCGTCCTAGCGACTGCTGAGGGAGAGGCATGGATGTGATCTTCTGTTGTTGCACACTCGTCTGTCCCTGTGCTGCCCTTCAGCTGCTGCTTCAAATGTTGAAATTCTGCCTTTAGAAACATAAATCCTAAAATTAATGTTTCCTTCCTTCCTTTTGTGCTGCGGGGAAGTGAATTTAGGGCCTCACGCATGCTAAGGTGCCATGCTCACACTACATTCAGTCAACGAGTTATTTCTTAAGCTCTCAAAAAGCCCCAGGCTCTGAGAACACAGCAGTTGAAAGGCAGGTCTGGGGCGGGAGAGATGGCTTAGCCCGCGAGAGCACATGCTACTCCTCTGGAGGACCCCCGTCAGCTCATAGCACCCACAGCAGATGACTCACAACTGCCCAACTCCTGCTCTGGGGCTCTGACACCCTCTCTTGTAGAGTGGCCATCTGCACTTACACGTACACACACACACACACACACACACACACACAATTTAACATAATAAATCTTTTTAAAGATAAGTCTTTCCAGGGGCTGGAGAGATGGCTCAGTGGTTAAAAGCATTGCCTGCTCTTCCAAAGGTCCTGAGTTCAATTCCCGGCAACCACATGGTGGCTCACAACGATCTGGAATGAGGTCTGGTGCCCTCTTCTGGCCTGCAGACATACATACAGACAGAATATTGTATACATAATAAATAAATAAATATTTAAAAAAAAGATAAGTCTTTCCTTTCACAGAGCTAATATTCTGGTGGAAGAGATATCAAATACATTTGCATGCCCTTAAGGAAAAGCCTGTTTAAAGTAAGTAGTTTGTAGCACACCCTTAAATTGTCAAACAGGAAGACATGCCATCAAATGACTATTTTCTTTCTGGACAACATGATGTTATAAGTTATCCTTAAAGAAAATCATTTCGGATAAACCACATCATAGAAGCAAAAGTGTGTTCCCAGCAGAGAGACACACGGCCCATACAAAAGTTCATGTTACCCACAATCCCAGGGTCTCAGAAAGCTTGGCCACTTCCTGCCTCCTGGGTGAATAGCCAACTTTAAGAATTTTATTAGATAGTGGTTTTGGCCCACTGCCAGCTACACACCTATTCTGGCCAGCCTGGATCTGGCCAGCGGAGCGCACACAGAACTTTCCTGTGGCATTTTGCCTATTGATCCAGCCCTGGCTTGGACCATGACTCACCTGCCCCTGTTGAATCGGCTCGGTTTTCTGGCATTCTGTCGCCATCTAGTGACCAAAGACCTCTCCTTTTGTCCACCATCTTAGAACCCAGAAGTTAGTGGCCCCTAGACACAGTTCAATAAAAACTTTTTACATTTTTAGGTAAAGATCTAAATAAAGTAGCGTTTTTTGCAAAAAAAAGTAAAATAACATCAATACGAGAAAAAATATCCCAGTCTGCCGGCCTCCAGAACAGCTGTCCCTTATGCTGCTTGCTCACTCAGCTCTAATGCGTAATATATATATATATATATACATACGTATATATATACACATTATGACATAGTTGGTGGTGGTCTGAAAAGGTGGGGAGTTACAGCTAAGCTGAAGCCTGCTGAGTCTCGGACTTAACCGATGCCTTATTGAGAAGGGGACAAACGTAATAGATGCGTGTGTCAAGCAACGGCAAATATGATATGTCTTTCTCTCTAAACAGGTACTTCTTCTATCCACGTTCTTCAGAAAGACAAGATGTTAAACCAGATCAGAGCCCTGAAGGCAGCCGAAATAAACCCCTACCACAATCTCGAGGCTGGGTTAGCCAATATGCTCAAGCCAATAGATGATTTCTGCACCAAGTTCTTTGTAGGGACAGAGGTAAGCTAGAATTGTCTGGTTTTTAAACTACATCCCCACCCCCACCCCCACACACACGGTTGCAGTTTTATAACCTTTAGTTGACATGTTTGCTGCCTGAAGGCGTTTTCATCTTTCAATATGTTCAATTTGTATTTAAGAGTTTTGACTGAGATGCCTTGTAGACTCAGGTCTGAAATCTCCTTAATGGGCTGGGGACGTAGTTGGCCGAGTGCCTGCCTAGCATGTGTGAGGCCCTGGGCTCCATTCGAGCACCACATAAACCAGGCCTGAGAGCACACATGGGTGATCTCAGCACCCAGGAGGTGGAAGCAGGAGGCCGGAAGAGCACACATTCAAGGTCGCCCCGATCTGGGTGACCTGGAGCAGGTTCACGGTGGGACCACTGCCTCGCCCCACTGTCGCTCACCTCACCGCCTCTGTCTCCCATCTGTGTGACTGTCTCCTCGGCTGCTCCACATTGGAGGCTTCTGTCTTTCCCTCTCCTTAAAACAGCTGTAGGTTAGCACCGGGCTGCACAATCCTTAAATCCGAGCTGAGAGGTGTACTTCCTGTTCTCAGCTTTAAAAGGTAAATGCTGTGATGTATCGTTCCTCTCTGCCTTATTCCAGGTCTTTGTTACATCCTAACTTGGTTAAAATGCTGAGAACAAATCACTGAACGACCCAAACCTGTTCTCGCCCAGCCACTCACCCTCAGAAAGTTAGGAAGGCCAGCAGACACGCATAGCGAGTCTCCACAGCCAACCGGGTCACTCCTATCATCATGCGTACATAAAGCAAACTCGTTTATTTCATCTTGGAATCAAATGCAGTAACAATTTTGAGCCTCTCTTTCCACTTGGCACACTGAATTCTCATGTGACTTGTTGCTTTTATTTGTCTTCGTCCCCCTAGTCTTAGCCCAGGGCTGCAGAAAACAAGGTCTCTTGCCTCTGAACTTACCGCATTTATCCAGAACCTGTTATCTTTCTAGGAAGGTGAAGTGATATACACAGACTGGAAAATGGAGAGAGACTCTGAAACTGGACGGTTTATGTGTAAGTTTTATGGGCTAGCTCCCTATTAATAAGATGTTCCTGTTGCTATTGGCATATGTTAATTATATGTAATAAAGGGGTTCCTTATGGCATTTTAACACATATAAAATGCATTTTTATCATCACCTTCTCCTGTCTGCTCCCAACTCCCAGTGGTCCCCTTCATCCTCCTACCCGGTCCTTATTAATGAGCCAATGAGTTTCACTGGGCTTGCTTACTGGTCCTTGGTTCAGACTTCTTTACAGGAGCATGGGCTTCTTTGCCAGCGTCTACATCACTGAAGAGATGTCATACTTTCTCCAGCCACCATGGACTATCCTCAGATATTCAGGAAGTAGCAGGGCTTGGTGAGCCCCTGCCTGACTAAAAACCTTCATCTGCCTATAGTTCCTCAGGGGAAATGGGGCCTCGTGGGTCAGCTCTCCCTTGCTTGCCCAGATGTTATGCCAGTAATTACCAGTGCCGTGAGATCAAGAGTGTAGCCACCGCATGTGTTCTGAAGACAGCCTTCTACCTCTCTGTATTCCTTTCGTCTGTGAAGCTTTGCACCTTGGGGGTATTGCTATACTTATGAGCTCATTCAGGGATGCCCATGGTGGACATGTGTGCTGCACGCAGACATTATGTATCATAGTGGCACCATTCAGTCCTGTGACCCACAGTAGAGGATTCAATGCCATGGCAAACGTGACTTCCTCCTGGTCTCATACATGCTCCTGGGGTCCCATCTCCTCTTACAGCCTGATTTTGAAACTATTTAGCAGTGGAGGAACGGTCATTTATTTTAAATGACCTTTATTCCAGTTTGATGCTGTGGGTTGGACAATGGTGAGAGGAGACAAGGAGGAAGTGCCCTGTTGGCAAGGCAAACAGCTGCTAGTGTTACGGCTGTCAGCAAAGAGAGAGTGCCGGAGAAGCCCAGAGAAGAGCTGTCTTTCTCGGGCTGTTAAGAAATGGTCCCACTTGGACCCGCAGTTGAGCTGAGTCCTGTCTTAGTCCATGTTCTATGGCTGTGAAGAGACACCAGGACCACAGCAGCTCCTATAAAGGAAAACATTTAGTCGGTGCTGGCTTACAGTTTCAGAGGTTTAGTCCATTGTCATCATGGCGGGATGCATGGTGGCATGCAGGCAGACGTGGTGCTGAAGAAGGAGCCAAGGGTTCAATATCTGGACTGGCAGGCAGCAGGGAGAGAGAAAGACATTAGGTCTGGCTTGAGCATTTGAAGACTCAAAGCCTATTCCCAGTGATACACTTCCTCCGAAAGGTCACACCTACTCCAACAAGGCCACATGTCCTGTCCTTTATAGTTACCTTTGTATGAGCAGATGGGAGTCATCTCATTCAAACCACTACGGCCCTGAAGGGTGGAGACTTTTCAGATTAAACGAGGAAAGACCCTCCTTGTCCACAGAGCAACAAGGGCAAGCACAAGGGAACCCAAAGGAGCAGTGGACAGGAAGGAAGCAGGAAAATTCGGGGCCACAGCATAGCAACCCAGAGGTCAACAACAGCCCACAGGGACAAAGAACTCTGATGGTATCAATGAGATTTCCAGACCCAACAGTATTTAGAAAAAGCGCCTGGCAAGAGAGTAGAGGCTGGGCCAGCAGAGCTGGCTATTGCCTGTGGAGGTCCTAACGGAAGCAGGGTGCGCAGTCACAGCAGCCTAATAAGAGCAATGTGGACTAGCAGGGAGGCACGGTCACAGCCACATAGCGAAAAACATGGGCGATGTGAGGCTCTCTACGCCAAGATTTCCTGGCCAGTGGGATATGGGTGGTCAGGATGGAAAGGAGCTGCTTTTCATTCATTGGCATTTAGTCCATTCCCAGCAAATGAGAAGAGCTTTAGCCCAGGGCTGTGGGAGCCCCTGAAGCCGTCAGCCGAGCGCCATGAGACAGACAACGCTGGGCCAGCCTGCTATTCCCATTGAATAATGCTTGCAGGGTGGGAGGATTGGTACGCAGCTGCCCTCAGTTGTAATCCATGTGCCCTGTTCACAGTCCGTGGGCTGCAGATGCTTTCCTTGTGAGCTCCCACCCTGCATCTGTCATAAACACCAGCATGTCTCCTGGGCAAAGGCAGAGGGAGCTGCCACAACTTGGTCCCTTCTCATCTGCCTAGCTCTACACAACCAAGCAGGAGAGAGAATTCCATCCTCTTAGGGGAAAAAAAGGCAGATTACCCCAAATGAGATGGGGGTGTGGTCACGTTAAATATTTCCACATGATCCAAGGACCAAGTCAAGAGATGCAGATCTGAGTGAGGACAGTTGGTATAAACCACTGTATGCCGTAGACCCTTAAACTGTGCAGTCAGCACATATGCATGCCAGGTACCCTTCCAGCACTTTCCACAGCTAAATGCCTGTCATTGTCACAGCAGCCCTGTGGGATCGCTGCCTTGGGCGGCAATGGCAGTCTTTGAATGCAGGCAGTCTGCCGCCAGTCTGTGCCTTTTAGTTTTGTTATAATTGTCTTTACCCGATCTGGCCTGGGGGCTCTGACACTCCATTTAATAACTTAGGGACAGCTCCGTTCATTGTTGAAAGTCACGCTAGTCTTCCAAAGGACACCAGAAAGAAAAGATTAGCGTAGGATGTCATTAACAACAACCCACCTTACCATTGTGGATAATGTCATAGCTGATCAGACAGTTTCCGAGGGGTTCCAGGCCCCAGGATAGCCCTGCTCACTCAGAGACAGTGTGGAGGGAAACTTCCCCAAGGGTAACCCTGAAACAAACAAAAACATTCACAAAAACAAAGCCACTGGTTGTCTGGGGCATCTTCTGCCTTACAAGGAATTTTCTAGATCACTCAAGAAGGCCTGGGAAATATGAGTTCTGTGATCTTTTCAAGATGAAGCCTCAGAAAGAGGATCTCTTGCTTCCTGCCCAGAAGAGCCACCATTCTTATTAGTTTATTATTATTATTTATTATTGTTGTTGAGATCAGTCTGTTCTATATTGTATAAAGCAGTGGCCCTTCAGACCAGGCCCTGACCGACCGATGAGACTCCTCTTACACTCAGCCTGGGGGTGAGTTTTTAGGATGGAGGATGACATTTGCAGCATAATGGGCATTCAAATGGTATCTGTCTGGTACCACACACAGTGCACAGACTGATAAATTATTATCAGTGAGAGTAGAAAGAGTGCCACCCTGTAAATGTATCAGGGTGACTTGGGACAGTAAGGAAACAAGGGCAAATTAAAAAAAGAAAAAAGAAAAAAAAAAGAAAATCAGGGAAACTAGCCCCAAGAACTTACCAGACATTTCAGACTTAGGAAAGGCTATAATTCCCTCACCTGCCCTCCCCATGTCTCAAAATGTAGGTACTTAGACCTGCAGAGACCATGGTTCCTCCAGACCTGTCAAGGACCCTGTGCAGGGGAACTCCCAGACTATTCCTTCAGCTTAGCTCATTCTCGCCTGATACGGCCTCCCAGATAAAACTGCTGCCTGCCTTCCTGTCCACCCACCTAGACCTTCTTCCCTTCCCTCGAGCTGGACCCAGCCCTGCCCTTTTGCCTTTGCAACTGGACTGAAGTGGACAGCTCAACTCTGACCCTGAAGCCTGCATCCACAGCCAGCAAGTCAGAACAGCTCCTTTGACTTCTGACTAACTTCGGTTAGTCAGCTCACCCTCACAGGCCACATTTCCTTCAGTCTCTCCTGTTTCTCAGAACCCTTGAGACCTCTTGAACCCCACTCTTTTTAACCCTTTGTAGTCATCCTGCAACCCACTGTTTATGTAAAAAAAAAAAACATCTCTCACCTCTAAGGGGCTAAAAGAAAATTTATTCGAGAGCCAAATGAGAATGAGAATGATCGTGGTCTGAAAACACAGACTTGAGCCACCCAAAGTTCCCTTTCAAATATGTTTCTTTTTTTCCCCAAAAAGTTCTTGAAATTTTTGTTGCAACAAAACAAAGAAAGTCATAAATCCCAACACTTTTCAGGTCCATTGCTGGACACACCAGGGAGCTGTGTCACGGCAAAGGGCGGGGACTTCTGCTCTCAGCCTCAGGTGGTGCCTGACGACACCACTGTGGGGTCAGTGAAGATAATGACGAGGACCAGAAGTAGAAACCAGGCAGTCACTTGAGGCGAACAGTTCCATTTTTGTCCTTGGCCAGAAGCAGGAAGTGTCCACGCTTTTCAGCCCCTGAGGTCCAGCGGAGAGTTCTGGTTTCTTATCGCTTTCTGAATGAGCACCTCTGCCTGGAAGCTACACCTGAGCCTGTGACCTCAACTCCAGTTCTGACGCTGATCCTTTCTGGTGAACAGCTTTGGGATTAGACTTCTGGATTTTCATAGTGGGAATGGGTTATATCAATTCCCCAGTTACAACTCATCTCCTAAATGGTTTTAGGGTCTCTGCTCTTGAGGGAAGAGTATTACAGGAGCCTTAGTGACCCCTTCCTACTAGAATGTCTCTGCCCCTAAATAGAGACGTGGTGTTCTGATCTGCTCCAAAGCTGGGAATCAAACCCAGGACCTCTGGAAGAACTGCCAGTGTGCTTAACCCCTGAGCCATCTCTGCAGCCCAGGATGAATAATATCCCATCACCTACCTAGGCCACATTTTGTTTGGACGTTCACCCACGGTTATTCCCGCCTTTCTTCTACTGCAAATGGTGGTGCCGTGAATGTGGATGGACAAATAGCCTTTCAAAGCCCTGATTTATAATTTTAGGAGGTCCCTTTCTCTCTAATATCCCTTCAGTGTTGAATGGGGGCCGGGGGGGGGGTCAGCCCTCACATACCTTTAAAATGATGAGCTGCAGAATCAATTTGCAGTTTTAGTGTAGATAGAAAGTCATTGCAGCTTAGGCCCCGTAGGTCTTTGCTTTTATGGTCATCCCTGGAGTCTGGAGCAGGGAATGAAGAGCATGCAGGTCAACCCTGGCAGATGGGAGAGAAAGCCAGGCCCTACTCTGATACGCACTGGGCAGGGACCTGAGAGGCAGGAAGCCCCGCAGGCCTGTGGCCGAGGATCTGTTGAGCTCTGGTCTCAGCACCTGAACTTTACCTTTGTTAGCTACAATCAGTGAAATCGCTTCAAGCCTGTGGCTCTGGCCAGAAACCAGGCTGCTCTTAGCACTGCACCTCACTCCCTGCCTGGCCAAGCTGCCTCCATATCTTGATCCATACCTTTACTGTGGATTAATTATAGTCACCTCTCACTACCCACCCTCCCTCCCTCCCTGTCTCCTTTCCTCCCTCCCTCCCTTTCTCCCTTCCTTTTCTCTCTCTCTCTCTCTCTCTCTCTCTCTCTCTCTCTCTCTCTCTCTCACACACACACACACACACACACACACACACACCCCTAAACTACCACAGAAGTCCTCACTGGGTCCCCACCTGGCTTCCACCTGCCTCTAACCCATTCCCACCATAGCAGCTTCGGAACCAGCCTTGGGTCTGAGCTGGACTCATACAAAGACATTGCACGTTGGCCTCCATCTGAACTCTTTTTCCCTGCAGGGCCGTGCACAGTCTGATCCTCCTAGACCTGGTCCATTCATGCCTGTGGTTCCAGGTTCCATTTACTGCTCCTCTTCCGGGACTTTGGTGTGTGTTGTCCTTCGGTGCGCACTGTTCCTCCTCACCAGAAACTTCCAGCACTCAACTCCACTAAGACCTAAATGATTCCTTCCTCCAATCATTCTACGTTAGGAGTGTCCCTTGTCATTCTTCCTAGTGATGGTTTCAGTTACTTGCTGGAGGATTTGTTTACTGGATATCTTCTCTTCCCACTAGACTGTCAGCCACTTGAGGCCAGGACCACATTGGGTTACTAGCTAGCCAATGTCCAGCCACCCACACGAAGACCTTTGTATATATAAACAATCCACAAATAGTAACTCCCTGAATGAACTGACAAACAGGTAAATGAGGGAGAACGTGGCATTGAGAAGTGGCCCGGGAAGCAAGTTTCTGTGACAGACCATGTACCCAAAGTTGGCCTTGTCTACTTCCACAGCTAAGAAACCTGTAAACCTCTACACTGTCCATGACGGGGCTGTCCACACCGTTCAGAGGTCCCCTTTCTACAATGACATCATCCTCACTATTGGGGGCTGGAACGTGGCCATCTGGAAGGAAGAAGTCATGGTAAGCTTCCTCGTGGAATGGAGTGGGCGGGCATGCCTTTGTTACTGAGAAAGACAATGGGAGCAATGACTGTTCCAGTTCATCGTGCCCGTGGGGCACTTTATAGAGAAATGAGAACAGATGGCCTGGCTCTAGCTCCTCAGCAGAACCACTGGGAGTCTTTGAAAACACCACCACGTGGCTTTCTTTCCAGAGAGGAAGTAAACAGCACAGCAAGGCTCTTGTTCTCTGGAACCCAACCCAATAGTGTTTGCTCTCGAGAATATCTATTGTGGGCAGCTCCTCAGACTTGAGTTTTCCTCCTCGTAAAGCAGGAGGTGGGACCCTGATGACTAGAGGAGCCCCGGGGATCACTGGGCAGCCTCTTGTCTTCTGCGCCAGCAGCATGTTGGCAGGTTCAGGAAGCTGGCATCTGTAGACTGAGGGCCCAGGGACAGCCGAGCATTGCTTGTCCAGACACATGTGTGCACTGGTAAGATCTGGTCATGATTAAGAGATGGGCCCTGCCAGATGGGAGCAAGACTGCCAAGACAAACAAACAATAAAAAAAAAAAACAGTTAGATCCAGTGAAGCAGGGCAGGGCAAACTGGTTCTTTTTGGTGAGATTTCTGGATTACTATGCCCCTTTGAGAGAAATATGAGATTGTGAAAACCTGGAGGAACAGGGACAAGAGGCAGAGCACATATGTGTGTCACAACTGGAACATACATGCTCGCCCACCAAATAGCCCCCCTTGGATATCTAATTCATATAAATAATTCTAAAAAAAATAAAAATAAAATAAAAATAAAACTTAAATCTCCATCCATAAACTTTCTGTCAATAATGAAGGCTTCATTTTTTTTGCTATTGTTGTTTGTTTGTTTGTACAATGAGGAAGGTTTTTTTAGTAGAAAAAGAAAACTCTCCAGGCGGTGGTGGTGCACACTTTTAATCCCAGCACTTGGGAGGCAGAGGCAGGTGGAACTCTGTGAATTCCAGGCCAGCCTGGTCTATAGAGTGAGTTCCAGGACAGGCTCCAAAGATACACAGAGAAACCTGTCTCAAAAAATAAATTAATAAAACAAAAAAAAAAACAAAGAAAGAAAGAAAGAGAGGAAGGAAGGAAGGAGAGAAAGAGAGGAAGGAAGGAAGGAAAGAAAGAAAGAAAGAGAGAGAGAAAGAGAGGAAGAAAGGAAGGAAGGAAGGAAAGAAAGAGAGAAAGAGAGGAAGGAAGGAAGGAAGGAAAGAAAGAAAGAAAGAAAGAAAGAGAAAGAGAGAAAGAAAGAAAGAAAGAAAGAGCGAGCAAACAACTCTGGTATGATTTTCAGAAGACTGGCAGGAACAAAAAGCCCCTCCCCCCACCACAGACTTAAGGTATTGAGAGAATGGGGACAGAAAGGCTTGGAGGTGACCAGGCCTGGGCAGTCTTCTGCCCTCGTGACAGGGTTTCCTATGCATGGAGTTGACTTGTGGGAGACAATCCCATGCCTTGTTTTAGTCACCGAACTATAAGGGACACTTGGACATACCTCTGGGTAGGCGGACATGCCAGTAGCGTAAAGCATATTCCAATCTCTTTCCTCTGAGACAACTTTCCCAAGTTAGCAAATTATCTCATGGTGGAAAGGGGGGAAATGATGATTCCCTTATGCTTTGGTGCCCGAGAGTCTCTCCCAAACATAGCTACAGCCATCTAGACTGGCTTATGAAAAGTCTGCAGGCGCTGCTGCTGGTTTGGAGCTGGAGTGGACAGCTGCGTTAGTTCCATGGTGATGAAAACCCCTCAGCAATAACTTAAAGGAGCAGAGATCTCGCCTGCCTGACTGGTATGTGGTTGTGTAGCTCAGGTAGTTCTGGTCCCTCCCACGCCGAAGCAGCATGCAGACAAAGATGCTCACCTCTCCGCAGACAAGAAGCAGAGGCACAGGATCAGGTGTAGGCTTCAAAGGCGAGGCTTTCCTCTAGCTAGGTCCCACCACTTGAAGTTTCCAGACCATCCCCCAAACAGCATCTCCAGCAGTAAGCCAAGTATTTGACCCATGAGTCTGTGGGAGATACATATTCAAATCATAACAGTCATCTTTTTGTGGATGCTCAGACTGTTTCCATGGGCAGCAGGTTTCTGTCATCAAGATAAAGTTAGAGGAGAAACAGCCTCAAATGCTCCTCAAATCTGCTGTCCACAGATCCTCATAGAAACAGCCATCCTTTCAGAGGCAATGGGGATATCAGGACCAGAAACTAAACTGGAAGGTTCAATCTCTTCTAAAAACCAACTAAAACAAGAAAGAAAAAGGTTGCTTATAAAATATATGAGAGAGAAAAATAGATTGTCCTATATAAAAGACCACAACATTTTTTTTAATGTTTTTCATTAAAACATTAAACCAGATGGCCCAGTGGGTAAAGGTGGAAGGAGAGAACCAGTTCCACAAAGACGCCCTTCGACTTCCACATGGGCACTGTGGCGTGCACCACTCTGTCTCCGTGTTTCTCTCTCTCTCTCTCTCTCTCTCTCTCTCTCTCTCTCTCTCTCAACAATTAAACCCTACAACAAAAGGAAGTAAGACTTCCAGTGGGATAAACTTATGGTTAAGTAATAATGGCCACCTGAGCTGTACTTTTAGAAAAAAATAAAAGACTGAATTTTCCTTGGGTCAGAGCAAAAGTTTTCAATGTGTCCTTTACACTGTGTTTAGACTGGACCGCTCCTTCAGACATGCTGCGCACCGAAAAGGTACACTGCAGGGCACTGGTCCCTGACACGGCCCGGCGTATTCTACATCGGCAGAGAAGATGGATACGTCGATATCTGGGACCTCCTGGAGAAAACCCACGAACCGGCCCAGTCCCAGAATATCTGCATCACCATGATCACCTACATCAAACCCTGGACCTTTTCCTGTATGTTCATCTAATCCTTCGAGCAACGGGTTTGGAGAAGCTACGAACGTTTGGGCTGGGCATTCACACGAAAAGGCCCTCCCCCTTCTCGTGTTTTCCTCCAACCGGCTGTGCCTTCTGATCCCCACGCTTCCCTTAGTTTCTCCAACAACACTCCCTTCTTTCTCTCCATCTTGCTCCCGGACTCTGGGAACGCCAAAAGTGTCCCTCGCTGTTTGGACTCCTCGGCCATGATTTCTCAGACTTTTGATCAGGTCCAACCAAGGCTGATTTTGAACCACAAAATGGGAAGCATCTGCTAGTCTTCACAGAGTATGAGGGAGTGGTCCTAAAGTTTTGCTGCTTTTTGGCTATTTCTTTCCAGGAATACTGAGTTGGCTTTTTAAATATCATGTACTTTAGTGATGCTCCCAATGACCACATCCGGCACCTCCCTTCACGGCATCACAAAACTCTCTAGGGTTATAGATCTACTAAGCCATAGTGTCTGGGTTGAAAATGAGTAAACAGCAATATCCTACCTACCAAACAAGCAGAAATCCAAGGACGTAGCTATAGAAAAGTAATTTATTCCCTTGTTTTTTTTTTCTACCTGTTTTTCTAATTTGTCTCTTTGGCTCAAATAGTATTTTCTGTGTAACTCCAGGATGCCTGTCTTTACTGGAAGAACTTCCCCCTTTGTTTCCAAAAGTCTATAGACACAAGGTTTTCTCAATGATTTTTTTTTTCTAGAAACACCCCACCCAGAGACTCAGGCTTCATTCAGGATCTCTAGAGCATCTGCCTGGTTCCCACTTAGCCATGAAGCACGACCAAAGCTTGTTCTCCTACCCTTGGTACAAAACCCTGGCTTCGTACCGGCAGGGCTATGAGTGTAGCATTCAGGAATTTGAACCAGACCTTCTGAAAATGAGAAGAGGGAAGCATCCAGGAAGCTTGGGGAACGAGCATTCTCACTCTGTTCATTATTATTATTATAGTTCAGTGTTTTGTCATAGGAAAACCACGGTTCGAGCTGTGTCTCAGAAACATGTTTACACAGAACGATCCTTCAGCTCTTGCTGTGTTGGCTCAGGTGGGCTTTCCTCAGACGGCAGAGAAAGTTAGCTATCAGCTCCTCTCCTTAGATAGACACCAGGAAAGCCAGATTTGAGGTGGTGGGAAGCTGACAAAGACTTGGGGTTTTAACTTTCATCCCAGCAACTGGAAATAATGACATGACGGTGTTTACATAGTCCAGCCATGAGCGCCTGCTGGAGCGCCAAGAACGCGGCCACCACAGCAGGTCCTTTGGGAAACCAAACAACAAAACAGCTTTTATGTTTAGCCTCTTCAGAGGACTTTCTGTTTGTTGACTCTCTCCTTTTATCCTAACCCTCCAGCGAAGCAGCAGTTCATAGCCATAGCCGATTACTATGGAACACTGCATATTTTAGAAATTCCGTGGACACTGAGCCACCCTTCCTTCAATGAGGTTAGTAAAGTCCCGGCTTCCCGAGTTTAATGTCGCTGATGCATTTCTTTGTCTAAAATTATACTTACTTATTTGCGTCTGGACGTTGGGGAAGAACTTGCGGGACTTGTTTCTCTCCTTCTACCATGTGGGTACCGGGGATTGAACTCGGGGCAGCAAACTTGGCAGCAATCACCCTTTCCTGCCAAACCATCTTGCCATCCTTTGGGGGCATACCTTAAACGTGTGTTTAAAATGGTGGCCTTTTAAACTTGGGACATTTTAAATAATAAGGGAATATTTTATCATATGAATTAGATAGTTTGAAGCTAAGGAAAATAATCACACATTTGAAGTCAAACGAATGATGTGGGTAAGTCGTTCTTTTCAAACACCCTTCCCCAAGGACTCTGACGACACATCATACATCTCTCTATCCTCCCCCCTAATATCTGCATACTGCTGGCCCTGCATCTGAGCCGCAGTACTCTGCCCCTCCAACCTTATACTCACCATCTAAGTGTTTCGAGCAATCCTAAGAATGAGGGTGTAAAAGGATTGATGACTGAAAAACATACATATATATATGCACTCACATTAAATGTATAGATTGCAGTCTATTGCATCCCAGCATCACACTAGTTCCAGACAGGCAGCAAGCTTGCCCTGACTGCCTTCCCCAAGGGAGGTCTCTGTTGACTCCCTCCTAATGTTCATATGACTGCATGCTAAGCTTGCTGGGGGAATTCACCTCTGCTTCTAGTCTCTTTAAAGTCTCCAGAGAGGGCTGGAGAGATGGCTCCGCCATTAAAGGCTAGGTTCACAACCAGAAATATAAAGTCTCTGTAACTATCTTCAGCTGAGTTTACCAAGTTCAGTTGAGGACATGCAACTCCAGTCTCCAAAGTAAGAAGGGAGAAAAGAGGGAAAAAGCAAATACTACCGTAAAAGCAAAATCTACTGTAAAAATTGAAGGTTTTTACAGCTCTCTCCTTCCAACTATAACAACAAAAACCACAGGGGCCTAAATGTAAGCACAGAAGCAAGCACACGGAGCTAACTTCCCTGACCTGCAGGCGCACCTCCAGTTCACACCCCACTAAAGGATGAGAAACATTCTAGTTGGTTCTTCCGCTCATGGTTCAGAAGGTGGTTATACAGTTTTGGTCAGGTGGAGTGGGGAAATGTGGTAGGAAAATCCTAACCACGCAGCAGCAGGCATCCGGACAGAGCCTTGGAAAGACCAACGGCGTCCCTGTGGGGCTAGCTCATCACAGGCCTTTGCTTCTGGCAGGTATCAAGTGTGAACTACTACTTTGAAAGAGAGGTCAGGCACCTGGAATATGTCCAGCAGCGCAAGTTGATCCGTGATCAAGAAAAGAAAGAAATGGCCCTGGAACTGGTGAAGAAGAAAACCGTGAGTGAGATGTCAGAAAGGAGAGATGCCTCCGCCTCCTCCCCGTGGGAAAGTGTGGCTGAGCTCACCCCGCAGGAGTCCTGTGCACTCCACAGCTTTCTGCTTTCCCTTATGAAAACCAAGAGGACATTTCTTTGGTTTCCTGGGCCACTATGAGTGACAGTTACCTGTTGAGCACACCATGAGATCCTATCCCATTTCTGTTTATCGCATGTGGGTGTGTTCTGTACGTGGTGGTAAGGCTGCAGACAACTTACATACCTCAGAGGGCACTTTACATAGTCAGTGCTCTGTCATGTAAGTCCTATGGAAAGAACTCAGGTCATCAGGCTGGGCAATAGGCACCATACCCACTGAGCCAGCTCCCCAGCCCTGCTAACAGAGAGAGTCTGTCCGTGCCATCCTTCTGTAACTCACTGTAATTCTAAAGTCCTTTCGTGTAAATACAAAGATTCCCAGGAAAGTGCTTCCGTTACATGGAATTCCCATGTCTGGAGAGCATTGCATTGAAACAAGCCATGAGCTGTCTACCAACAGCTACCTCTGATGCTCGCTGGAAGGCATTTGGCTAAATCACGAGACCACTGCATCAAATGGTTATTAGGCTAAGGATGGTAGCAAAAAGGCAGAGAGGGGTATCTTTTGTCGTGCTGTGATGGACAGCACTGTGAACCCTGACACTGAGACGTGGGGAGCATGTCCACCTTGCATGCAGCCGTCAGAGGAACACAGCACTCTCCGGTCCACTCTCCTCTGTCCCTCCCTCAGGGACGGGAATGCTGGAGCTGGTTCTCTGCCATCTGCTAGAACTGGGGACTTCTCAAGGCTCGATAAACAGTTCTTGTGTTCCTACTCAGATCAGCTGGGTTTGCAATCATGTCTCTTGTCGGTTTGTCTCCTCCCCTGCCAATCTGTCAGCACAGATTCCTAACAAACCCCACCTGTGGCCTCTTCACAGCCAAGCACACAGTAGCCTTCGAAGTAACTTTCCGGGAAAGAGCCCAGGTCTCTAAGCAAAGCAGCAGATGTGACTACAGCGAGGTCCCGCACACATCACCCACTGACAGAATCACGGTCACACAATCAAAGCGAAAGACTCATTCCAAAAGCTGCCCTTGGAGGTGACAGCACACAGCAATCCCAGCGAATTAACTGTCCCACTACAACCAATGAGCTGGGGATGGCTTGTTGTACTCTCAAGCACGGGTCTAAGTGCTCCTGTAGGAGCCACTGTCACACTCTCCCGCTACAGTTTACCCACAGTTGCCACAACTCCAAGTACAAACAACCTACCTTCCAGGCCACATAGGGAAAGCAGGACTCGTGGGAAAGACTGAGCCAGGAGTTTGTTAGTCTTTAGCAACGGTTTTCAACCCTTTCACAGGAACCAACTAAGCCCACTGGAAAACATAGATGTTTACATTACAATTAATAACAGTAGCAAAATGACAGTTAGGAAGGGGCAGCAAAAATAATGTTACAGGTAGGGTCACCATGAGGAACTGTGTTAAAGGGTCGCAGCATGAGGAAGGTTGACGACCACTGGTCTATAAAGGCACCACAGAGGACAGGCTCTTGCCCACTCCCCACTTCTCCAGACCCTCAGACAGCCCCTCTGTCCACCTGTCCTCCTACCCTCCCATAAACCCCTTCGGGAGAGCAGCCACACCGGCTCTTCAACAAAACCCAACTCCTTTTCATTCATCTTTGGTTTTTAAACTGCCAGTGGCTGACAGAGCTGTCTCGCTTGTTCCCACCCAGAAAATCTACAGCAAGTCGAAAGAGCACCTGGAGGCGGAACTGAAGCTGGAGTATGAGAGCTATCTGGAGCTTGAGAAGGCCGTCCTCTTCAGTCTCGGCCTAGGCAAAGTCTCAGAGAAGGGACCATACATGGAGATGATTTAGCCAAGATTCTCCAAGATGGTCCCTGGATTGACCCTGCTGATCTCCCCTCTCCTTTTATTGATTTGCGGTATGCAAGGTGAAACAGCGGACTGATCATATATAGGTGTATTTTTAAATGCAGGCTTTAGCTCACTGGTATGAAAAGAATTAAACTCTTATCAGATTTAATTCCATCTCATGCTGAGTTTTATTGAGCTGTGCTGAATGTGGGCTTTTGAATAAGAACATCTTTATTTTCCTATAGTGGCACTGCACAGCTCCTGACAGCCCCTCCTCCAAAGTCCTGGTCACGCAGAGGCCCTAATCCCTGGTGGAAGTAGGAATCCAACTTTGCCTCTCCCCACCACATGATTTTTGTGGCCTATCCATAAAAAGGATTTCCATGAGCCGGTGCACAGGGCCATGTTCTCAACACAGTATTAGCCAACTGAACCCAGAGATGTCATTTTTGAAGGATAACACATGAAGACCTGGGTGGATTTACCCAGGAAAACAAGATTTATTTAACAGTAGAAAAATGAGCCTAGAGATTGACCAAGCGGATAAGTTAATTGTAGTGCTGATAGGTACAGAAAATATTCGTTAAACATGCAGCATTCATGACATCAACACATTCTTAGCAACATTGGAAAAGACCTCTTTAACCGATCGATGAAGGGAAATCAACAATGGAAAAGACCTCTTTAACCGATGAAGGGAATCAAGAAATGCACCTTCTCATGGCTGTCTTAACGACTTTTCTATGGCTGTGATAAATTACCACTATCAAGGCACCTTATTAAAAGAGCCCGTTTAAGATGGGCCTCACAGTTTCAGAGGTTTAGACATCATGGCCACCGTGGCAGGAGCATGGCAGCAGGCACTGGAACAGGAGCTTGAGACACAACCATGAGGTGGTACGCTTCCTCCAACAAAACCACCCCCCCTAATCCCTCACAAACAGTTCCACCAACTAGGGACCTAGTTATCCAAGCATAAGAGCCACTACAATGACAAAGATGTAAAAGAATTTCTCTAAGACGTAGAATGGCATTGTACCCATATAACTAGCACAGGAAACAGCACTGTAGGAAAACATGGAGCCCTACCATAACACTCCCATCACCCTGCCCAAGGAGGGTAGTTTTAGCTTGTGGGGGATTAACAGAAGGGCTAATCAGGAAGGTGACACAATCCACTTTCCTGGTAGGAAGATAAGGAATGGATTAGAATAGAGTCACCTAACCAGAAATCCTCTTAGGAGGTCATGGTAACAGTTCAGGGTGAGAGACGAGAAGGCCCTGGAGATAAAACATAGCATGAAGATGGAACTGAGAGCTTCACTGAATGGGAAAGGGGAGACAGAGTTTATAGGTCAGGTTAATGGAGGGGAGGGCACTGTCAATCAGCCAGAGATTGCACATTCCCACCTGTGTGTCCTTGGACAGATGACAGAGCTCTGTGAGAGTCTCAGCCAACCATGTTGAATCCACATGTTTAGCAGCATACATGGGCTGGAGTTTATTGTTGCTTAGAACAGCAAACTCCTAGGCTGGTCTCGAACTCTCAACCATTCTGCCTTGAACTTCATCCAGGGGGCTTGAATTGCTCAGTGAGTTTGCCTTGAAGCACTTCACCAGGAGGTGACATAGATCTGAGGCAGATCTGCACCTGTGGGAGGAGAGAGAAGATGGAAGACAGACAGACTGCACCTCAGTCTCCCAGCATCCCAGTTACAGCCCAGCAGTGTACTGGGTTCTGTATCAGGCTCTTGGAGCCCAACAGCTGACACCCACTTCTCTCGCTCAGAGCCTTCATTAGCAGGTGACAGACCTGCTGAGTCCCAGCAAAGAACTCAGTTGAGTTGAGGCTCGAAATAGAAAATGACAATACAGGGCCAGCTGGTGTGTATGAAATAGAGCTAAGGGATGGACCTCCCCTTGAGTCCCCACAGTTTAGCCCTTGTCCCCTGCTGTCAACTCCTTCCCCAGCCTCCCTCCACCTGTATTGTGGATCAATTCAAGCTTCTTTTTCTGTCCTCTAGTTCTTTGGTCTGCCTTACAGTGTCGTGAAAAGAGAGGGGACCCTAGATCCTAGCAGACCTGAACCCAAAGCTCAGCTTCATCACCTTGGATAAGCTGCACTGTCCCCTAATCTTAGTTAAAGGGAAATTCTCATATACATACCCCCTCTTCCCTCCCTTCCTCTCTGTGTACGTGTCCCCTCTTGTGTGTATGTGTATGGGGGGTGCATGCACACACTTGCGTGTGCACACTTCATGCCCATTTGTTCACGCGGATTCCAGAAGAGGACGTCAAGTGTCCTGTCCTGTCACTCTTTATCTTACCTAGCTTGATTTTTTTCTACCTCTTTACTTTTGTTTTTTTTTTTTTTTGGAACATTACACACTATTCAATAACTAGTCACCCAATATCTGATTATTTAGATTAAATGTAATAATCATTCAGCTTTGCAAATTGCTTTCTGCTCACCAAGAAATGTACAATTAAGCCGGGATATTTTCGGGTCCACAGATAAGTACATCATTTGCGTGCACTTTAGATGAAAAGGCAACGAGCTCCAGGGGACTGTGGCCGTGTCCTCTGCGGGTTTGCAAACTCACCATCGTAAATAATTAACAGCTCCCCGTGCCCTTCTGCCCCTGAGCACGGGCGGCGGTAGGTAACATTCTACCTTGGTGCCAGGCTGCCAGTGCCAGGGCAGATACCAGGTAACTGAGCTGAGTCCTCACCTGGAACCTGAATCCCAGTCAAGGGCAGATTAAAGCCTGTCCGGGAAATTCACTCTTTGAATGGCCCATGAGCTGTCTGATGATCACAGTGGGCAGAATCCCACCCTAAATCAGCCTGGGAAGTCCACTGAGGAAGACAGCAAGGGGCCAGTGCAGTTGCTCTCAATGTCACCTCACTAACAGATAGGACTTGGATACTGACCATTAATCTTGGTTGTGCTTCCTTGTAACATGGCAGTGCCCTGGAGTTGAGAGGACGGAGGACAAAAATGTCCTTTCAGTCCCGGCTCATCAGTGTTCATGAAAGTCTGCCACATTTTGTTTCTTCTTGAGGAAAAAGAAGAAAAGCATAAAATGCCAAGTTCCACCCTTTCTTCTCAACTAGGCAGGCATTTTCTCAGTGTGGAGACACTGAGCAGGCTCACTCCTCTCGAGCCTCAGTGTTAGGCAAACTATGTGAGTGTTTGTGTATGTGTGCGCACGCGCGTGCATATGTGCACACGCATTTGTGTATGTGTGCGTGTGCATGTGGTGCAAGCATCTGCAGTGTGTGCACAGGAGAAGGCGTATGCCCATGTTGACACATGTGGACTTCTGCTGCCTCCTATCACCTCCCCACTTATGCCTAGAGAGAGAACCTCTTACTGAGCGAGCCGCTCCCAGGCTGGCTGGACTGCTCTCGGGACAATGCTGGGACTACAGACCCTCACTGACCTGCTGTTCACATTAACGCTGAGGACCCCGTCCAGGTTCCTCGTATCTACAGATCATCTGCTCTTCCCCACAGAGTAACCACCCCAGCCTCCGAATAACCATTTTGATCACTCAACACTTACAGAAAATAAGTCCCATTGCATGGAATTATGAAAATTAAATAAAATCTGAGAAACTAATGTGTAAGGTATAAAATGCAGCCGGGGCAATGTGAGCAACACTGAACTTCTTTGGATTCTGGGATGAGCTAAATCACCAAAGGTTTCCCTACAATTGCTATGCTGTGGTTTTTGCTGTGGTGTGACTCCTGATGGTTGGTGTTTAACACTCATCGTGATGTTCCATTCACACACTCCACTGTGTAAATATGCAAGTAGTGTGTATTCGTGGACAATTAATTCGGCTCCACAATTAACATTGGTCTCAACTTAGAAAAACAAAAGTCTGAAACCTAGAAAAACAAGAACAAATCACGGTTTTTAGTGTAAAAAGAGACTCCCATTTAAAAGGTAGGGCGGCCTTTTGTATATTCCTTTCAATTCTGGGTCAACCATGTGACCATGTAACCATCCCTTGACTGTATTTTACTCCTCTTTGTTGACATTTCTCCAGCAGGCCAGCTAAGCCCAGCACCAGGAAGAAGCAGAGAGACCCTTTGGATCTAAAAGGGAACCTGAGGGGAAAGGTCATATTCTCAGAAATGCTGGAAGGAGACAGAGTCTGAACCAAAAGGTCCATCAGTTCATTCTGGGCAGAGAGGGGGTGGCAGAAATGGATTATTCTTGTCCACATTCCTGTGTCCATGTTTGCTGGCTCCAAGGTACACTGGAGCCTTGTGACAGAATTCTAGTCCACAGCGTGTGGGTAGAAGAGACAAACCCTCCCCAGGTCTTACCTGACTCCCTGAAGTCCCCCCAACTTTAACTTGTCCAGCATTTATAAATAGAGAAATGTTTCTCAACCACAGCAGATTTTCACAACCGGGAATTTCTCTTTTATCATATTAAACCGCCGAGCGTTCTGGGTTTCTTTGTTATACTGGAGCAGAGTCCACGCTGATAAACTCAGGTAGATTGACAAGGGCACCACCTCGTCATTGGAACACGTGCAGCACTAACTAAATCAGAAATCTGACTTAAACTTACAGCAAAAATAATAATAAAAATCTATGAAACCTTAAGTCAAAAAAGGAAACCTTTTCTAAGCTGACGGTTGCTTGTGCCCACAGGTTGAGAGAGTATACAGCAATCTAAGGCAACTCCAAGTCATACGCCAGGGAGCTCAGCTCACCTCAGATCCTACGTTTAATTTATTGATTTATTTAGTCAAATACCGCAGTATTTAGTAAGCTTATATTTTCAGTCAGCAAAACCCACCTGATGTGATATTCCCTTCATTTCTTAGTTAAATACAGTACCTTCAGCACTAATATATGTAATATGTTAGTATAGCCAACATATTACACATCAGAGCTGTCTTAGGTTTTAAATATTCCATACAAATACCTCCCCCCACACACAAAAAAAACTAGAAAACACAAACCAAAGCCTCACCTAACAGCTTACACATACAACATGCACACACACACACACCACACACACATGTGCACACAACACACACATGCATGCACGCACATACCACACGCGCACACACACCACACATACCTCACAC